GCCAGTTCTCTTTTATTCTGTTATTTTACAAGATTAAATACAGCTATATTTAATATTAGCATGTATAATCTGAGCCTCTTTTAAATAAGAGTATTTTTCTTACTCCCCTAAAACTACATAAAAATATGTCTGAAATTCTTCCAGTGTTAACATGGTTTATTCCTGGGTGGTAGAATTTTTAGTGATTTTTTGCTTTCTTCTTTGTACATTTCTACAAGTCTTCAATTTTCTAAATAATGTGCCTATATCACTTTCATTAAACAACAAATACTTTTTTAAAAATGTAGAGCCCGAGAACCACAGGAACGCCGGCTGAGTGGAAGTCCTACAACTAGGAGGAAAGAGAAACGCATACGGACACTCAGAGGAGGCACAGTGCTGAAGTCAGATTCTGAGGTGCGGAGTGCGCGGAGGGGGCTGGCGGCGGAGGGCGAGGTTGGCGTTTTCAATCGGGAGGGAGTCGCAGACTCTGAGCTCCAGATACTGGTGAGTCTTTAGGGACCCAGACTCAAACGGGAGAAGCGGGACTGTCTGGCTTTGGTCAGAGCGAGTGCAGCTTTCTCTCTGAGCTTTGCAGCGGGTGCTGGGACTCAGAGAGGCAGAGCCCCTGGGGACAGGACTGAGAGCCGCCATAACTGCTCTCTCCGGCCCACCCTGTTGATCCTGTGCGACCCGCCCTGCCCAAGCCCTGCACAGAGGCATTTGCCGGATAGCCTCAGGCAAAGGCTAGATTAGCACCTCCCTAGAGGACAGAAGTTCTCTCACTGCTGACACAGCTGATTCTCATAGCCACTTGGCCTGGAGGTCAAACCCTCCCTGGAATTAGCTACAACAATCAAGATTTAACTATAAGACTTCGAACAAAGACCACTAGGGGGTGCACCAAGGAAGCATAACAAAATGCGGAGACAAAGAAACAGGACAAAATTGTCAATGGAAGATATAGAGTTCAGAACCACACTTTTAAGGTCTCTCAAGAACTGTTTAGAAGCCGCCGATAAACTTAATGAGATCTACAAGAAAACTAATGAGACCCTCGATGTTATATTGGGGAACCAACTAGAAATTAAGCATACACGGACTGAAATAACGAATATTATACAGACTCCCGACAGCAGACCAGAGGAGCGCAAGAATCAAGTCAATGATTTGAAATGCGAGGAAGCAAAAAACACCCAACCGGAAAAGCAAAATGAAAAAAGAATCCAAAAATGCGAGGATAGTGTAAGGAGCCTCTGGGACAGCTTCAAGCGTACCAACATCAGAATTATAGGGGTGCCAGAAGATGAGAGAGAGCAAGATATTGAAAACCTATTTGAAGAAATAATGACAGAAAACTTCCCCCACCTGGTGAAAGAAATGGACTTACAGGTCCAAGAAGCGCGGAGAACCCCAAACAAAAGGAATCCAAAGAGGACCACACCAAGACACATCATCATTAAAATGCCAAGAGCAAAAGACAAAGAGAGAATCTTAAAAACAGCAAGAGAAAGAAACTCAGTTACCTACAAGGGAATACCCACACGACTGTCAGCTGATTTCTCAACAGAAACTTTGCAGGCCAGAAGGGAGTGGCAAGAAATATTCAAAGTGATGAATACCAAGAACCTACAACCAAGATTACTTTATCCAGCAAAGCTATCATTCAGAATTGAAGGTCAGGTAAAGAGCTTCACAGATAAGGAAAAGCTAAAGGAGTTCATCACCACCAAACCAGGATTATATGAAATGCTGAAAGGTATCCTTTAAGAAGAGGAAGAGGAAGAAAAAGGTAAAGATACAAATTATGAACAACAAATATGCATCTATCAACAAGTGAATCTAAGAACCAAGTGAATAAATAATCTGATGAACAGAATGAACTGTTGATTATAATAGAATCAGGGACATAGAAAGGGAATGGACTGACTATTCCTGGGGGGGAAAGGGGTGTGGGAGATGCGGGAAGAGACTGGACAAAAATCGTGCACCTATGGATGAGGACAGTGGGTGGGGAGTGAGGGCGGAGGGTGGGGCGGGAACTGGGAGGAGGGGAGTTATGGGGGGAAAAAGAGGAACAAATGTAATAATCTGAACAATAAAGATTTAATTAAAAAAAAAATGTAGAGCCCTATGAGGTCTTTAAAAAGAAAAGAAACGAGTCATGCTGACATGTAGGCTTTTCTGGGTGGAGCAAGACAATAAGAGAAAGGGAGGCGGCTTCCAAGGACCTGTCCATCTTGAAAGAGCTGCTCACCAGGCCGGGATGATGTGCCAGCACTCCTGCATTGACTGCCAAGGGTGCCCAGGGGTTCGTTTCTCCCACTCTCTACATTTCAAAGTTTCAATCTTTCAAAATGCAAAATACTTCATTTTATTTATTTTCTTTTACAAACACTTAAATGCCAAGCCCTGTTCCGAGTGCTTTACACACATTAGCTTATTTAGTCCTCATAACAACACAATGAGAGGAATATTATTATTATATACCATTTTCAGAAACAGAGGCACAGTGAAATAAGTTAGCTGATCACGTGAATACCTGTGTATAAACTAAGGCTGGCGTGATTTTCTGTGTAACCTGTATGTCACCTTTCATTCAACTGATATTTACTGAGCACCTGCCAGGCACCCTTCTAGATGCTAATTTCTCTGAAGTGTTCAGGTGTTCAGCAGTGGGAACTGATAAGTGTTTAAAAGTAATTATATAAACAGGGAGAGAAAGGGTATCCAGCTTGTGTTTCCAGGATGTTCTAACTTCCTCCACATTTCCCATGGCCTGGCACACATTGCCATCGCATAGAGCTACTGTAGAGTTTTGATCTGTGGCTGGAAATGATGATTCTGAATCAAAATTTCTATCAGTGGTTTGCAAACTGGTAGCCCACAGCATCCATTTCCTGAAGGGGCTGAGAGCTGCCTTTGTATTGAATCCACAGTGGTTTTTAAAAATCAAAATTGCTCTTATGATACCATTACTTAAATAACAACAGAATAGTCATAAATTTCCATTTTATAGTGCTAATAAATTAAAATTATAAAAATCATCAAAACTTCATAAATAACAAAATTCAAATTAATATTAGTTCATGCCAGGAAAAAATTGTTGACACATTTTGAAATGACAAAAAAAAAAAAAAAAAAAGATGACTGGGTAACTCTGCCTTTTATTATTTTTGGCCTATTTTACAAAACTGTAAGCTATAAAAATTGATAGTAATGAAAATGACTTAGAAATATAAATGCTTCATGTGTGTCCATTAGATGCAATAGATTACTACTATGTGGATACTGACAAGCTTTACACTATTTCTAAATATACGACAGCAATCTTATTGCCTTGTGCATTTTAAATTCTCCTTTAAACAGGCTGTAACATCTTACTGGTCCTTTCATTGAATAAAGAGTTAAAATCTTTGACAAATGTTCATTTTATATTTGCATGAGAATAATAATTTTACCTTTTCTAAACATTATCCTTTAACCTTCATTTATTGAGGCACCTTCAGCTTTGCGGATATGAAATTGCCTGTATTTTTCCCTGTTTTAACACCTGGCAGGCATAAGCTGAGCTCATAATGCCACATTCTGCCCTCCTGGTGCATCTGTAGTGCCTGTGGGCACGAGTCTGTAGTCCGGGAACTTTTACACATATGCTTACACTCACATGCCTATATTGTTGAGGTTTTGGAAACAATGTCTGGAGCTGACCTTGGACCCTGGGACATCCTTCTTATGAGCCTACCTACTTCCCCAACTGTCTGCTCTCTCCTCCTTCCATGCCTGGGCCACATGTCTGGGCAGGGGCCTGCTGAAGAGATTCCTAAGAACCAACTTGGGCCCCAGAGCAGTTAGAGACTTTAGGGCCTTAGAAATGAGATTTATTCTTGAGGAGTCCCTTTGGTTGGTTTGACTTGTGCAACCTGCCCCTCAAAACAACCTCAGTAGTTGCTTAGAAAGGGGGTGAGGAGAAAGAACTTTCAAGAATGGGTAGAACATGTTCATTTCTTAGCCTCTGGACCTGGGCAATCAACATGGTGACAACCATTACCCATGGGGCTATTGTGTGAGTACTGGAAATGTGGCTAGTGCCACTGATGAATGACATTTTTAACTTTAAATTTAAAAACTGATGTGCCATTCTTTGAAAACTCAGCATGATTGGAACTGTTTGGGTATGTGATCTATTTTTTAACCATACATTTTACATATAAATTTTATGAAATCTAAATACCGAACAAGTATTTCTTTTATTTTTACTTTTATTTCTTTTTTTCAGAGAGAGGAAGGGAGAGGGAAAGACAGGGAGAAACATGCATTGGCTGCCACGCACCCCTCACTGGATCCAGCCCTCCACAACCTGGACCTGAGCCCTTACAGGGAATCAAACCAGTGACCTCTTGGTGCATGGGACGATGTGAACCAACTGAACCACACCGGCCAGGGCCAGAACATGTATTTCTTATGACAATTTAGCTCCTGGATTGCAATATGTTGCAAATGTAAAATACACACATGATTTAAAAGGCTTGTTAAAAAAAGGTAAAGCATTCCATTAATAGTTTTTCTGTTGATTACATGTGAAATGATAATATTTTGAATATACTGGGTAAAATAAAATATATTATTAAAATTGAATTCACCTTTTTTTTTTTTTTTTAAACATCGTATTATGAGATTTGAGATTCTATACTAGGTTTGCATCTTTGGGATAGGACTCTCTGGACCATGAGGATCTTCCCATTTCCCGTCCACTTCTTTCCTTATTTACCGAGGGCACCCAAGTGATCCTGAACCCCTCTTTTCTGCTTTGGTTTCCTAATCCCTGCAGCTTTGTGTCTCCTTCCTCGGTGATGGCTTTATCTACTTTTTACAGTCGTTCCCATGAAGGGGTTTCCAGCTTCTGAAGGATAACCCTTCTGCCCTTACAGCGGTGGGCTGGCAATTCCTAACTTGCCGCTAGAGGGAGCCGCGTCTCTGCGTGGTTGCCGAGCAACTGGTGACCCGGAAGAAGTTCTCCGCCTTCCAGAGGGGCGGGCGCTCGCTGGATGACTTCCGGCGGGGCGGGCGAAGTCGCGGCGATTCTGCTTTGGCGGCGGCGGCGGCGTAATGACCACGCTCCGGGCCTTCACCTGCGACGACCTGTTCCGCTTCAACAACATGTGAGTGAGATGCGCACTGGCGAGCCTGGTGGCGCTCCCCCTCCCCCGGGCCGGGGTCCGAGGAGTCAACTCCGCCCGGCCGCCGCTGGTGCCTCCCGGGGGGCTGCAGGCCGAGGCCAGGGCGGGGGCGGCCGCTCGGGCTGCCCTGCTGACCGTGGCCGCGGCGCTCTAACTTCATCCCGCCGCCCCGCGTCCTCCGGCGGCTGTCAGGCTGCGCTGGGTGGGCGCAGGTGGCGGCGGCCTGGGAGCCCGCGGCCGGAGCCCGGCCCTGCTGCCTCCGGGCCTGGGACCGGCTTCCCCTTGTCCTGGAAACCCCAAAAGTCCTGGCCTGGAGGTCGCGGCGAGGTCAGCAGCTGAGAGCGAAGTGTCCGATGCGGCCCCCCGGGTGGAGGCGGGTAACTTTAGAGGATGAAATGAGGAGGTGACCAGCCCCCGCCGCGGTTCCTCCCGCAGTGCGGTCGGGGCTTGGTTTTGTCCGGGTTCCCGGAGCGGCGCCCCCAGCCGGGGCACCTTACTCTGCTGTGCAGCGGCAGGGCGGGGCACGCTGGTGCAGGCCCCTTCGTGGCAGTTTCTTTCAGTCCGAGTTGTCAGGATAGGCGACTTGCAGGTACCACCCCCCCCCCCCCCGAACAAAACATGTTTGTTATTTTTGAATTTGTGAACATTTAAACAGTTGACAATTTTACCTCGAACACCTGTGTGGGCACAGCAGCAGGATTCTGCAGTGAACATGTTGCTACCTTGGCTCCATTTGCGACATCCATCCCGTCATCTTTCCGTTTATCCCACATTCATCCATCCCTCCCTCCACCCACTAATCCCCCATCCACGTTTGAAAGGTGGACAAAATGTTGATAATGAGGAAGAGGGAAGCTCCGGAGAAGGGAGGGGGAGTTAAGGTGGGGAAGCTGAGGCGTGGCGGGTCGCCTTGGAGACGAGTGTGCCGTGCCTGCAGTGGTGGGCCTGTAACTCAGTAGCCAGAGAGAGAGGGTGAAAGGCGTTCTCCATTGTCGAGGGGCTTACACTTGATCCCGCTGGAAGGAGGTTCTGTTTGAAGCGGCAGAACGGAGGCAGTTTGTGCGGAGCTCTGGCTGATCCCAGCGCTGGCACTGCGGTAGCATTTAGTCCTCACAGCTCGCTGAGTAGGTGGTCTCATTACCCCCATTTTATGTATGAGCAAACTGAGGTACGGAGAGCAAGCGAATTGTCCCAGGTGTGAGGGCCTTGCAGTGAGAGCGAGTCAAACAGGGAGTCTAATTAATCCAAGGAGATTGGCAACAGCCGTGGTTCCTAAAGAGTGGCCCCTGACCGTTGGGAACGTTTTGGAAATGCAAATTCTCGGGTGTTTGAGAACCACTGCTCTGAAGCCGGAGCCCTTCAACACAGAGCTGTGTGGCATAGGAGGTTAGTAGAGGAGGTATACCAGGCAGGTAAGCCATATAGGAGGGCTTGGCAATGGCCCAGAGGTGACAGCTCAACAAAGGCGTGGGTTTGGGTGGTTCAGGCCTGGGAGGTGACAGTGTGCCTTGAAACTTCAAAAATAGCAAAGGCAACGCCTCTTGGAGAATGAGTTTTAACTGAAAATCTGGGAAGGGACAACTCATCTGTGAAGATGAGTTGAGGAGAAGGGATGGTTATCCTCTGATAACCATCGTTCTGTTATCTGTATCTGTGATATTCTGACTTTTATTTCATTTAGCGTAATATTCTCAAGAGTTCATCTAGGTTGTCACAAATGGCAGTATTTCATTTCTTTAAGAGGAATAGTATTCCATTTTACAAAATGTATTGCTCTAGTAAAGTAATTTGATCATTAAGTCTATTATTAATATAATAAATGTCTCCTAATTGGTTTTTAATGAAAAAGTTCATTAAAGCATGAGATGTGCAATAAGACATTAGATTTCAAAGAATCATTCAGTTTAATATGGCCCTTCATTGTATGTCACTAGAGGAGCTCCTCTTCCTTCCCATTTTCTCCTCTTTCTCACTTTGATTACGGCACTTGGCTAGAGAACTCTGAGAATCACAGGATTAGGTGTTGCAGGAAGAACTGAAAGAAGCAGTGGATGTAGAAACATTCGAATTAACTTAACAGTTTATCCTTAGAAAATTATCTACATACCTACTTATGGAACCGTACTAGTGAATGAAACAGGATAAAATACTATCTTTAGGGAATTTACATTTTAGAGGGGAAAACAAAATAAGAAAATACATGCAGAACTTAGTGTTCAGTACTAAGGAGATATGAGAGCAGTAAAGGGAAATAGGAGGTGAGTGAGATTCAGCTTTAGGTAGCATGTTAGGGAAGGCGTCCCTGAGAAATACCTAGGGGAGAGGCGGTGAGTCACGTGGATGTTAGGGTCGGGGGAACTTGCAGGCAGAGAGAATAGTAAGTGCACAGATACGTTTCCAACAGAAGGGGCCAGTGTGGCTGGAGCAGAGTGAGTGGGAGGGTGAGGGGACGCGGTCACAGGCAAAGGGCTACATCTTGGAGAGGCCGTCATAGGACTTGAGATTCTCTGTCAAGTGCACTGAGATACCAGGTGGAGAACTTAGGTAGGCAGCTGGGCATGCAAGTCTCAAGTTTAGATTTGGTCTAAAGATAGAAATTGGGAGGTTAACTCTCTGTAGATGATATTGAAACCAGGAGGCTAGTGATGTAAGTGCTGGAGTGAGTGTAGATAGAAAAAGGATGGTGCCCTGGGGCATCAAGTGTTATGAGTGCAGACCTAGTGGCCCAGTGCGGTGGGAGGAAAACCTGATGGTGGGATTGTAGAAGCTGAGCAAGGGGAGTACTTCAGGTGGAGGGAGTGGGGGACTATGTCAAGAGCTGCTGATGGCTAATTGTGAAGTAGGTTTGTACACTTCTTCCAGAGGGAGTGGGGAATCGCAGGAGCAGGGTCCCGGGAAGTGCGAGGTAGTGGGGTCTGCTTAACAGAACTCTAAGCATGGTCACAGGAGAACAAGTAGAGTAAGAGTTCAGTGGAGGGAACTTGCTGAAGCTTTTTTCTTGCTGTTGTATTTTCTTTGTGAAATAGGAAGCAGCTGAGATCCAGGAGGGGGGTGGCCTGTTGGAGAGTTGAAGCAAGAGGAAAGAATGTGTTAGAGCAAGTGATTCTCCAGGTGTGCACCGGGGCCCCTCAAGATTGTTTTGGGGCTCTGCAAGGTCAGAGCTATTTTCATGATAACACTAAGATGGTTTTTTGCCTTTTGCACACTCATTCTCTCACAGGTGCATAGTGGAGTTTTCCAGATGTATGATCTTACAACAGCAAGTATAACAGACAGATATGAGAATCCTGTCTTCTATTAGGCCAGACATTAAAAAGATCTGTAAAATTGTTAAAACAATGCCATTCTTATCACGACCTTTTATTTTTTTCAAATACATCACACAACTTTATGGTAGGTCTGGGGAAATGCATTATTGATAATAAATGGTGAAATAATTTATCTTTAGCAATATAATTATATATGCAGAATGTAAGTGTGGATGCTCCCGAAGCAACACCATCCTAGTCCCTAGAGTTTGGCTGATTGTACTTGCCTTCACACTGCTAGTTCAGGTAACACCACAACTGAACATCACTTTCTTCCTACTTTACAGTTCTCTCTCTGTGTTAATGATATTGGCAAGTTCATACAAAAAAAATACAAGAAAAATGGCTTTTAAAAATTTATTGCTCTAATAATTTGATCATTAAGTCTATTATCAGTATAATAAATGTCTGTCTTCTAATTGATGGTTTTTAATGAAAAAGTTCATTGTTACCTTTCAGAGAAAGTGCTGAGCACAGTGTCAGCCCATAACAGGCAGTTGGCATTACTCTCCCTTTCCCATAAGCAGTGTTCATACTTATAACAAGGGTCTGTCTACACAGCAGCAAAACCAAAGTGGTCAGTGTTTTTATTCACCCTCCCACCAAGAGGGGGACTGATCATGCCTGAAAGACCTCTTTTCTACTTTTAGGCTTTGGTGTTCATTTTAACTTGATTTTACTTTAAAAAAAATTAAATTTATTGGGGTAACATTGGTTAATAACATTCCATAACTTTCAGGTGTACAGCATTTGACACCTGTGTATTCTATGGTGTGCTCCCCATCTGAAGTCTAGTTTCCTTCTGTTAACCATATGTTTGACCCCCTTTATCCACTTCACCATCACCCCATCCCACTTCTCCTGATAACCACCATTCTGTTATCTATATCTGTGATATTCTGACTTACTTCATTTACCATAATACTCTCAAGAGTTCATCTATGTTGTCACAAATGGCAGTATTTCATTTCTTTAAGATGAATAGTATTCCATTTTACATATATACCACATCACCTTTGTCCAATCATTCATCAGTGGATACTTAGCTATTGTAAATAATGCTGCATTGAAAATAGAGGCACATATAGCTTACTGCAGAAGTATTTTTATATTTTTTTTGATAAATACCCAGAAGAATAATTGCTGGATCATTTGATAGTTCTATTCTTAGTTTTTTTGAGGATTGTTTTTGTTTTGTTTTCTATAGTAGCTATACTAATTTACCTTCCCACCTACAGTATACAAGGGTTTCCTTTTCTCTATATCATCCAACATATATTTTTTGTCTTTTTTATAATAGGCATTCTTACAGGTGTGAGGTGATATCTCATTGTGGTTTTTTTTTTTTTTATATTTTATTGATTTCTTACAGAGAGGAAGGGAGAGAGATAGAGAGTCAGAAACATCGATGAGAGAGAAACATCGATCAGCTGCCTCCTGCACATCTCCCACTGGGGATATGCCCGCAACCCAGGTACATGCCCCTGACCGGAATCGAACCTGGGACCCTTCAGTCCGCAAGCCGACGCTCCATCCACTGAGCCAAACCGGTTTCGGCTCATTGTGGTTTTAATTTGCCTTTCTCTAATAACTAGTTATATGTCTGTCTTCCTGGGAAAAGTGTCTGTTCAGGTCCTCTGCCCATATTTTATTGATTGTCTTTTTGTTGTTGAGTTTTACAAGTTCTTCATATCTTCTCCCATTTGGTTGGTTTCTTTTGCTTTGCAGAAGTTTTTAGTTTGATGTAGTCCCATTAATTTCTTTCTGCTTTACTTCACTTGCATTTGGGATCAAATTTAGGAAAACATTTCTGAGACCAATGTCCATAAATTTAGTGCCTATGTATTCTTCTATGTATTTTATTATTTCAGGTATTATATTCAGATCTTTAATCCATTTTAATTTTGTGTATGGTATAAGATAGTTTAGTTTCTTTCATTCTTTTGCATATGGCTGTCCAGTTTTCCCAACACCATTTCTTTTTCCATTGTATATTCTTGGCTCCTTTGTCAAAAATTAGTTGCGTGTGTGTGTGTGTGTGTGTGTGTGTAATAAAAGCCTAATATGCTAAGTGTCCGGCCGTCCAGTCAGCTGTTCAACCAATCAAAACATAATATGCTAATGATATGCTAAGGCTGCTCAGCCACTTGCTATGACGTGCGCTGACCACCAGGGGGCATACAATCGACCGGTCGACCAGTCGCTGTGTCGTGCACTGACTACTGGGGGGAGACACTCCGACCGGTAGGTTAGCTTGCTGCTGGGGTCCGGCTGATTGGGACTCAGCAAGATGGGCTGGACATGGCCTGGAGACCTCCCACCATCCCTCCCCACCTGGGCAGCCTCCTGCGTCCTTCCCCAACCCCAATCGTGCACTGGTGGGGTTGCTTGGCCTGGCCTGTGCCCTCTCACAATCCAGGACCCCTTGGGGGATGTCAGGAGAGCCGGTTTCAGCCCAGTGGCGGAACGAGCAGTCGCTATGACATGTACTGACCACCAGAGGGCAGACACTCAATGCAGGAGCTGCCCCCTGGTGGTCATTGCGCTCAGCCAGAAGCCAGGCTCACGGCTGGCAAGCACAGCAGCAGTGGTGGGAGCCTCTTCCAATTCCACAGCAGTTGGACATCCCCCGAGGGCTCCCGGACTGTGAGAGGGTGCAGGCCAGGCTGAGGGATGCAAACCCCCCTACCCCCCCCCCCGCATGAATTTCATGCACCGGGCCTCTAGTGTGTGTGTGTGTGTGTGTGTGTGTGTGTGTGTGTGTGTGTGTCTCTGTCTGTCTGGGTCTATTTCTGAGCTCTCAGTTCTCTTCCATTGGTCTATGTATCTGTGTTTCCGCACATACCATACTATTTTGATTATTGTAGTTTCATAGTATTGTTTGAAGTCAGAAAGTGTGATACTTTCAGCTTTGTTAATTTGTCACAGGATTACTTTAGCTATTTGGGGTCTTTTGTGGTTACATACAAATTTTTAAAAACGTTTATTCATGTGAAATGGGTGAAAAGGGTTAAAAGGTACAAAACTTCCAGTTATAAAGTAAATAAGTCATGGGTATATAATGGATAGTATGGTGAGTATAACTAATGATACTGTATTGCATACTTAAAAATTGCTAAGCGAGTAGATCTTAAAAGTTCTCACCACAATAACATTTTTGCAACTGTCATTTTGCAATATGGCCATTAGGTAATTTAAACCATCCTCCTGAGCCCTAAAGTTGGTTTTAAAGTGGATTTTGCATGTTTTGATTTCCTTGTGCATATTATTTTTAGTTTTAATGTTTAATGGGCTTATTTAAACTGGTTTTGTAAACACTGCTTACTACTGTCTTTTCCTTATTTCTTTCAGTAACTTGGATCCACTTACAGAAACTGTATCCTTTTTTTAAAAAAAAAGTTGAAGGCTTACTAAAAGGAAAATAGAGAAACAAAGGAAAAAAAATAGACCAGTACTGAAAAACTTTAAAACCTTTAGATCAGGAAACATCATAAACAACATTGAAAGCAATTTAAATAAACTGGGAAGATTTGTCTTAAACCTGCCTAACAAGTTGCTAATATAGTGACCTCATAAATCTATAACAATACAGCTACCCTGCCCAGCTTCCCCTCAGTAGTATGGGTGTACACAACAGAAAGTAGTGAGTTCAGCAAGATGGGTTATTTCTGTGTGTTCTGAATGAAGTCTGGAAATGATGTGCAGTCTAGGGCAGGTGGTGGTTCCATGTAGTCACCAGTGACCAGGTTCTGCACTTGAACCACTCTGCCATTCCCAGGGTGACTTTGTCCTTCCTATTCCATGGCTGCCAGAGCAGACAGCATCACATCCATGTTTCTGGCAGGAGGATCAACAGAGGGGAAGGTAAAAATATTGTTTGCTGTATCTCGTTGATCAGCACCTGCCTCACTTAGGTAGCTGTAAGAGTCCCAGAATGTGCCTACTTTAAATTGGGGCTTATTACTAAAGTGAAGAGAGGATTTGGGGTAACAATGAGCAGTATCTATCTGGATCATGTTGCACTAACAAACAACCCCCACATCCCGAGTGGCTTAAAAACACAAAGTTGGATTTCTGGGTTATCCATGTCCATTGCAGGGTGAGGGGCAGATCGTGGTGGTGGTGGGGGGGTAATATTAACTGATAATTCAATATAAGAGGCTAGTGAACATATTAGTTCAGTCTTACCAGTCAGAAGACGTGAATTACAACCAAAATAAAATGTGATGTTTTACTTATCAAAATATCTAGAATTAAAAAAAAAAAAAGATAAAACTCAGTGCTGATGAGGGTGTGTGGTTATAGGAACATTCTCATAGATTGCTAATGATGGCATAAACTGCAATAATTTTTTGGAAGTCACTTTGGCAATGTAATTTATTTTATTTTATTGATTTCAGAGAGGAAGGGAGAGAAACATCAATGATGAGAGAGAATCATTGACTGGCTGCCTCCTGCATGCCCCACACTGGGGATCGAGCCCTCAATCCTGGCATGTGCCCTTGACCTGAATCAAACCCGGGACCCTTCAGTCCACAGGCCGATGCTCTATCCATGGAGCCAAACCGGCTAGGGTGGCAATGTAATTCTTAGTAATTCCAGTTCCTGAAGCAGAAAATAATAAGCAACAGAGGCAATTATGTCAGGGCATGACGAACTAAGGTGCAAGAGCCAAGTTTGCACACTGCCTGTTTTTATAAATAGTTTTACTGGGACACAGACATGCTGAGTAATTTTCTATTATATATGGTCTTTTCCATGGCCTTCACAGTTTGAGTAGTTGCAACAGGGACCATATGGACCACACAGCCTAGAATATTTACTATCTGGCCCTTTACAGAAAAAGTTTGTTAACTCCTTAGTTATGTCATTACAAAAATATTTATTGCTGTTATTAAAAATTGGGGATAACATTCATTCACAACAAGAAAATGACTAAATAAATTAATCTCTATTCATAAAGTATTTTAAAAAGTTTGAGAAAGTGGAAACAACCCAGACATCCACTGTCAAGAGAGAGTATATTTAAATTGTCTTTTCACAACAGTGGAACACTATACAGCAGTAAAAACTAATGGTAGGTAGTTTTACTATTTTTAGTTTTAATGGGCTACGTATCAAAAACAGAGTTGAGTGGGAAAACCAAAAAAAGAAACTCTGAAGTTTTCATTTATATTTTAAAAACTATGACCTATTGAAGATCTTTCCATGTTTAAAAATAGTAAAAGGATTTTGAAGAATTTTGAATGACACAAATTTTCACCATAAAATAAGGGAAGTATTAGGATTCATATCAACTTACATGGTTTGTTTCCAGTTACCTGCAAAGTTTACAGTAAAAGTCTCATAATCCAGGTGAAGCCATATTTGAAAGGAACCTACCAGCTCCTAGTGGTTGATGAGTGGGCACATTGGAGGAGACAGTTATGGTGTGTTTTAAGGCTGCATGGTAGGAAGACTGACTGGCCTGTCATTTTAGGGGTTAAGTTTGAAGAGTATTGAAAATAAAGCTTGTCTTTCAGAGGAGAGTTTGAAGAATTTACTAAACAGGTTTTCCAGGAACTTAAAAAAAAAAAATTATATATATATATATATGATCGATGATGTCCCTTCATGGAATTGCATCAGCAAGCTGACATGAAGGAGAAATATAGGAATGAGTACGTATTAGTAAGGACAACAGGGTTGAAGAGTTAAGTAATGAGCACTCACTCTTAAGTCAGCTTTTATTTGCATAACTAGAAATGGAGAATTTAAATCAGTGGAAGGGAAAACTGGGTAATTGTTAAGTTGCCTCTGGAAGTACTTAGTTTTTGTTTTGTTTTCCAGGATAAGAAACAGTTTATTGTAGAGAAGAAATTTCTCATCCCAAAATATAGAAATCTGTACACCTCTGCCACAATTGATACATATGAACTGTATAAATTTACACCAGTTCAGAAATTACCAAATAAAAAACAACTAGAAAGTACTTTGTCTTAAAGTTACTTTCACAGTCTCTTAGCTGAAGCTAAAGTAGTCATTAATTTTCCAGTGCAATTATGGAAAAGTAAACATACTGAGCATCTATGTACGAAGTGCCAGGGATAGAGTAAACATTACTCATAGTTTTAAGGGGAGACAGATTGTAAACAAATAAGATTATCCGGTGAGGCTAAGTGCTATGCAGAGATTTAGATACAATGAGTCCTAGTTCAGTTTTCTGTTGGATGGTGCAGTTTCCATTCACATTTGAGGTGGTACGTTCAGGTACATTGTTAAAAAATTAGTGCTAACCTAAATTAAATATTTACTGTAATGATATGATTATAGAAAACATACATATATAGAGCTGGGGATAAAGCAACAACATACTTATTAAGGGGAACTTTCTTTATCCCTTTTATGAAGAACTTGTTACTGCCCGTCGTTCTTCACACTCCTTAACAAGACTCTAGTATGGGATTCCTTTTTATTTACAGTATCTTGCCCATTGGCCAGAGTATTTCATTGTTGCAGAGGCGCCTGGTGGAGAGTTAATGGGCTATAGTAAGTATAATGCCACCAGTACTGCTTTGGATAGGAGTTAAGATTTTAATATGGGTTTAAACTGGTTTAGAATGATAAAGAATTGAAAGTGTAATCACGATGTCTATAATTTATTTCCTTTTAACCATTAGAAACTCAGTGATCCCTTCTACATTAGGCATTGTGCTAGGTCCAGCTGTTACAGCAGTGAACCAGCCAAACAGGGTCTCAGTCTTCTTGGATCTTTCAAACTATATATATGTTAAGTTTCTACATAGTTTATTTGGTACATAATACAAGGATTGTAGCATCTTCATTGAGTAGCATTATTAACAAAAACTTAGCTATTGATTGTCGCAGTTATGTATACATGTACACATACCCACACATATACCTATGTGAAATATAGATATTTTTAAAAATACATATTCTGATTCTGTGTTCAAAATTAGTTATGTTTTTAGTATATCATTCCTTTAAAAAAACTTTCTAATTCTGATTCTACAACTAGATTTAACATGACATTTATAAGTGAAATTCAGATAAAAGCACCATTAACCATTAAGTAGATGACTTTAAGATTTAAATACTAAAGGTTTGTCATTAGTTTCCTTTATAATAAAAATGTATCAAACAGTAATTCTATATTTATGTGTAAACCCCTGTGTTTATTAATGAATGCAATCTTTTGTTGGCAGTTATGGGTAAAGCAGAAGGCTCAGTTGCTAGGGAAGAATGGCATGGGCATGTCACAGCTCTGTCTGTTGCCCCAGAATTTCGACGCCTTGGTTTGGCTGCTAAACTTATGGAGTTATTAGAGGAAATCTCAGAAAGGTGAGATCCTATTTTTCTAATAATTTATGAACCCTGATCATTTGATTTTTCTCTGTGAACATTTAAAAGACTTTTTCCCTTCAGGCTGAGTAAATATAATGCATTACAACTTACAGAAGTTTCATTTTTAGCCTCCAGTAGTCCTTACAACAATTCTGTAACATTCAGAATGGCATTGTCCCTATTTTGCCACTGCGGAACATTAAAGAGAAATAAGTGACTTCCCACAGGCTTACAACCTGGGTAATTCGTGGAATCAAATACTAGCCCTCAAAGTTTTGTGTTTTTGTTTCTTTTTTACTATTCTTGCCACTATGGGAGATATTCCCATATTCTTTGTTAACATTGCCCTTGGTATCTTAATGATTTTTTTCACAGTGCCCCTTGACCAAATGGAAAACAGTTTAGTCTTAAGCAGTTATGCTCTGATTAATAAGTATTTATGGCCTAACAACCTAGTAGATATTTAGAAAAAAAGTAAACTGAAAGAAAAAATATTTTTATTTCATTGTTAAGTAATTGTGGTTATTGACTAATGAGATGTGTGCTCTTGTTGGGTATTGTATTCCTTTTCAAACCCTGGAAATGGATTGATACAACCACCTGCATTCCTGTTTCACATTGGTTTTCATGTGGTACTTTATGTTTTTAATCATAGGAACTGCCCAAAATCTGGCTTCATAAAGGTAGTCATCAAAAGGGATATAACATGATGTAATGTATTCTCGATTACATCAAAATAGTGGTTTGTTAGTGTCTGATATGTAAGGTTTGTCTGTGTTTTCCTCAAACATTTGAAATATCCCGCAGCACCTCTGAGTTTTGGGCACCCTGGGACACCCTGGAGCAGTTTGGGGAACTGCCAACATTATGGCTTTTTAAAAAAGACCTATTATATATGTTAAACATCCTCATTAAGTTAGATTAAAGTAATAAAGAGAAAACACCTCCTGCCAGCCCATTCTAGAATAGATATGAGATGTGTGTATAAAGTTTAACCAGTTGCCAAGCTGCCATTTTTTCCTTTACTGTAAATACTTAAAAGTATATAGGAAAGGGAATAGCTACTGAGAAGCACTCGAGGCTTTACACTTAATTAATGGAATTAATAAATATAAGTCTTAAAATAACCCAGGCTTAAAATGCTCCTAGCCAAAGTGGTAGCAAGAGGAACTCAAGCTCATTCAGAGAAGAGAGGAAATGGTGTTAGCCAAAAAGGAAATGAGCTCTAGTCCTTAAGAATACCTAAGATTTAAGTGATCTTTATTTGTATGGATGTGTATATATACCAATATCCACCCATACATCTATACATGTGTATACATGTATACATTAAAAATAGAAACAGCCGAAACCGGTTTGGCTCAGTGGATAGAGCGTCGGCCTGCGGACTAAAGGGTCCCGGGTTCGATTCCGGTCAGGGGCATGTACCTGGGTTGCGGGCACATCCCCAGTAGGAGATGTGCAGGAGGCAGCTGATCGATGTTTCTAACTCTCTATCTCTCTCCCTTCCTCTCTGTAAAAAATTAATAAAAATATATTTAAAAAAAAAAAATAGAAACAGTATGTAACTTCAAAACAAACAAGTAGGGGAAAAAACAGAATGACAAATCATTTTAAAAGAAGAAAGAAAAAGGAAATTAAAATGACAAAATAAATAAGCATGAATTAAGATGATAGCTGTGAATCAAATATTTTCACTAATTACAACAGTAAACGTCAATAGACTAATGAGCCCAATTAAAAGACAGACTTGAGGACATTATGCTAAGTGAAATAAGCTAGTTACAGAAAGACAAATACTGCATGATCCCACTTACATAAGGTATCTTATCTGATAAAAGAAACATGCAAATTGACCATACCTCAGCAACACCCACAAGCCATGCCCACCAGCCAATCAGGAGTGAGTATGCAAATAAACCCAACCAAGACGGTGGTGGCCACAGACTGGAGCGAATAGGAGGCTTGGGGTGCCCATGGCGATGGAGGAAGCCAAGCTTCCCGTCTGCCCTGGCCGGTTGTGGGCTCTGCTCAAGGCTACAAAGTTTCAATTATAGAAGATAAATAAATCCCAGATACCTGCTTCCAGCCACTGTGGCCTCTGCTCAAGGAAGGTCTGAGGCCTGGGTTGCCCAGGGCTGTGGCCAGCTGGCAAACAGCCATCAGCCACTCACCCAGGCTGGCCACACCCTCATGGGGTGAGGGTCCCTGCTGGGGGACTTGGCCAGTCTGCAAACAGCCATCAGCCCCTCACCCAGGCTGGCCAGGCACCCCAGCGGGACCCCCCATCCTGAAGGGGGTGTGGCCAGCCTGAACACAGCCCTCAGCCCCTCACCCAGGCTGGCCATGTTCCCCCAGCAGGGACCCTCATCCCATGGGGGCGTGGCTGGCCTGCAAAACACCACAGGCCCCTCGCTCAGGCCACCCTATGCCCCAAGGGAACCCCCACCCTGATCCGGGACACCTTCAGGGCAAACCAGCCGGCCCCCACCTGTGCACCAGGCCTCTATCTACTAGTAAAAGGGTAATATGCTAATTAGACTGGGAGATCTTCCAGGAGACCTTCCAGGCGTTCTTCTGGACAAAGCCATGGTGGCTGGGCCGAGGTAGAGGCGGTTAGAGGCCAAGAGGGGAGGGTAGTTGTGGGTGATCAGGCTGGTGGGGGGGGGGCGGAGCCGTTGGGGGTAAGCAGACCAGCAGGGGGGCCAGTTAGGGGTAAGCAGGCCATCAGTGGGGGTCAGTTGGAGGTGATCAGGACAGCAGGGGTGGGCAGTTTGGAGTGAGCAGACCAACAGGGGGGCAGTTGGGGGCAAGCAGGCCAGCGGGGGGGGGGGGGGAGGCAGTTGGGGGTGATTAGGATGGCGGGGGGGGCATTTGGGGGCAAGGAGGCCGGCAGCGGGGGGCAGTTGGGGGCAAGCAGGCCAGCAGGCAGAGTGGTTAGGGACAATCAGGCAGGCAGGCAGGTGAGCGGTTAGGAGCCAGCAGTCCCGGATTGCGAGAGGGATGTCCAACTGCTGGTTTAGGCCCAATCCCTGTAAACCAGCAGTAGGACATCCTTCGAGGGGTCCCAGATTGGAGAGGGTGCAGGCCAGGCTGAGGAACAACCCCTCCCCTCGTGCACGAATTTCGTGTACCGGGCCACTAGTCTAAAATAAATTCATAGAATCAAAGAGTGGAATGGTGGTGGCCAAGGAAGTGGGGAGTGGGGAGTTAATAATCAGCATAAAGTTTCAGTTAAACAAGATGAAAAAGCTCAAGTCTGCTATACAGCATTGTACCTGTAGTCAGCAATAATGTATTGTACATTTACAATTTATTAAGATCTCATGTTGTGTTATGAAATAAAATTGAAAAGTAAAATAAAATTGAAAAATAAGGAGACTATTAGGACTATTTACAGGAAATATGTGTAAAGATTAGATATAGAAAAAAAAAAAGATTAGATATAGAAAGATTGAAAGTAATTTTTAAAATTATACAAATTCTAATCAAGACAGTTGATATATGAACAATTGTCACAGTATAGTTCAATAATTACCAGCTTAAAAAGAGTCATTGCATATTGATAAAAGATTTAGTCCATCAGGAAGATGTAATAATAAAAAAATTTCCATACTCAATGACATATTCAATGTAAAAATGCACCACTTGGCAAAAATATACTGAGAAATAGACAAATCATCACCATAATGGGAGGTGTGTCTTTCTAATTACTAGGCCAATCAGACAAATAACAGGGGTCAACAAATTTTTTCTGGGCCAAATAGTAAATATTTAGGTGTTGTGGGCTACCTAAGGTCTCTACTGTGTGTGTGTGTGTAATAATTCTTTAAAATTATAAAAAACATTCTTAGTTCGAGAGCAACAAAAATAAGTTGTGAGCTGACCTCTGACTTCAAGAATTTCAATCAGCCAAAAATCTTTCCACATAGAATACTGGCTTTTCTGGCAAAAATTTTTACCATTCTAATTAAGAAATAACTGTAGGTTCAATTTTCCACAAAGAGGGAATATTCTTTAACTTATTTTTTTAAGGCTAGGATAACCTTGATAATAAAATCTGACAAGAATTAGAAAGGAAATTTGAGGGAAATCCCAGTAAAATCTTAGTAAAATGGATTCAGCAGTTCATAAAGAGGATGCTATATCAAGGGAAGGTTATTTTAACATTAGAAAATCTGTAAGTATATTCCACCACTGTAATAGATTAAAGGAGAACTATTATTTAAGTAAATGCAAAAAATGCATTGATAAAATTCAGTATTCATTCGTCATTAAAAACTTGATCAAACTAGGAAATAGGAGAGAACTTCCTTAAACTGAAGAGTATCTGCGAAAAACCTGTGGTAAATATTGGTGGTGATGCATGCTTTCCTTTTAAAATCTGGGACAAGATAAAGACACCTATAGTTAGCCCCTTTTTAGTAACATATTGAAAATACTAGACAGCACCAGTAAACCAAGAAAAAATGAGGATTGGAAAAAACAAACTTACTTTGCAAAAATAAGATTGGGCAGATAGGAAACTCATTAAGAAGCTACAAGTAAATGTTTAGACCAGTGATTTTCAACCTTTTTCATTTCGTGGCACACATTAATTACTAAAATTCTGTGGCACACCAAAATAATTTTGCCAATCTGACAAAAAAAGTGTAATTTTGATTCATTTACACAATGGCTATTGTTGTGTTGGCTGTTGTTTTTTGACAAGTGCATTTTGATGCCATTGCAAATGGCATCTTTTTCTAAATCTTATCATTTGTATAGAAATCAATTGAACTTTATACTGATGTTAAAAATGGCACACTGGTGTGCTCAAAGAATTTTTAAAACATGCAATACCTGACTTTTAGGGACACTAACATCTTTTCCCCAGTGGTTCTCAACCTTCCTAATGCTGCGACCCTTTAATACAGTTCCTCATGTTGTGGTGACCCCCAATTTCAATGTTACAAATTGAACATAATTAAAGCATAGTGATTAATCACAAAAACAATATGTAATTATATATGTGTTTTCTGATGGTCTTAGGCGACCCCTGTGAAAGGGTTGTTCGACCCCCAAAGGGGTCGCGACCCACAGGTTGAAACACGCTCTATACGTTTCAGAATCAATGTAAGTCCTACAAAAAATACCTGAGATATTTTTACTGCAATTACATGGGCTCTTGAACCAATTACCAGTTTACTATATTAATTCCTTATGCACTGTGGTTTATCTCTGCATTTAGATCAGTGGTTTCCAACCTTTTTTTGGCCAAACCCCACCTAAGCATCTCTAAAATCCTGATGCCCCTTCTGTGACATATAATTCTTATTATATTAAAAGTGAACTCTTACTCATGTGGAGGAAGCCTAAAAGGCCATTAACTTGCATCCATGAAAGAAAAATAAAAGAACAAACGGACAGTTGAAGTACTGAGGAAGAAATCACTAAGAAATTATTAAAAAAATATGAAGTGATATTAAAAAATAGCCAAGTTTCAAAACATATAATAGAGAACTGAAATGCATAAATGTCACTATATTTATATATTGTATATGAGGACCCTAGAACCATAAAAAATGCAAAGAATTCAGTGTTAATAACTCATTCTCGAATTGCCTTCCTTAAAAATCAAATTGCCCCATGTTGGGAACCACTTATTTAGATGGATCATCTTTAATGTCTCTCAAAGTTTTATCGACTTTAGAGATCTTGCAGCTTTTGTTAGATTTTTTTCCCTAAAGGTTTAGTGCAGCGGTTTTCAACCTGTGGGTCGCGACCCCTTCACACGGGTCGCCTAAGACCATTGGAAAACACATATATAATTACATATTGTTTTTGTGATTAATCACTCTGCTTTAATTATGTTCAATTTTTAACAATGAAATTAGGGATCACCACAACATGAGGAACTGTATTAAAGGGTCGCAGCATTAGGAAGGTTGAGAATCACTGGAATAGAGGAATGGTTAAGAGCCTAAAAGAGACAATATATTCCTGAACAACAAAATGGGTGGGTTTGCCCCTTTAGATATCATAGATATTAACCTGTAATGAGTCAGACTCACGTGTGTTCAGGCTGGAGTAAAGCTGTAATGAATAAGGCTGTGTTCGGACTGGTGTAGTTGTCTAGAGTATGGAACAGAATTTGAGAAACAGATCCAGGAATACATGAATTTTTACATCCCTCAGAGGAGGCAGTTGTCTTGAGTGATGAAAGGATACACTTTTCAGTGAAAAGTGGTGGCACAATAGGATATCCATATGGGGAAAAAAATTTTCCCAGCTTGCCATCTTACTATATACAAATCAGTTCCACATTTATTAAAAACCTGGATGTGAAAAGCAAAATTAACAAGCCCTTTGAAGTTAATACAGGAGAGCGTCTCCCTAAGCTCAAGGTAGAAAAGAACTTCTGAAACAAGCCATAAAAAATGCTAACTGTAAAGGAAAAGTTCATATACAGTAGGTCCTTGGGCTATGTCGGAGATTGGTTCCTACGGCACCACGTAACGTGATTTTCACCATAAGTCGGAACCCACCTACGTCACTCACATGGAGCACATACACAGCAGGAATGAAGTGAAACAGTAAAAAAAATTTAAAGAAAGATAACAATTCCTGACCTTTACTTGTGGCAAATAAATAAAAAACATAAAGCACATATGTACATACGTCAAAATGACTTTTTTTTAAATAAATGGGAGACGGTGACGTAACCACGAAACGACGTACGTTGAGTCCGATGTAACCCGAGGACTGTCTGTATTCAAGTTCATTGAAATGAAGTAATTCTGTTCATCAAAAAATACATAAAGATAATGACTATACTAGCCACAAACTGGAAAAAGATAGCAAATTGGAAAAAAGATGTTACATCCTTTACACAATGTTGAATATCCAGCATACCAAACTATAGCATAGGGGAGGAAAAAGAAAAATGTTTCAGAGACCAATAGAGACTTCAGAACCAGAAATCTAAATGGCTAGCAAAAATATATTCAGCCTTGTTAGTAATCCAAAATGCCAATTAATATCCCTGAGGTACTATTATACTGTAAGATTTTCAAGCAAAAAGTCTGATGCAAAAAGCCTTGGTAGTATGGTACTGGAGTCTTACCCATTTCTGTGGGAGTTTAAGGGGCACAGCAAGTTGAGAAACAGACATTAACAAGTTGAAGAAGTGTGCACCCCGACAAGCCAGCAATAGACTTGAGTATTGTATGACTAACTGGTAAAATGGGCATGTCAATTACTATGACATAAAATACACAGTAATTTTTTAAGCCAGTTAGCAGAATTGTGGAAAAAATGTTTTAAATTTTATATTTTAAGAAAATATGTACTATAGGTTTTGAAATATTAGTATGCAGACAGAAAGTCATCTTTTTATACAGTGAAATAGTTGTTATAAATCCTCAGCAATATATGTTTTTTTAAATTGATTTATGATGTAATCACCTGCAAGGTCCTATTACTGCCATTCTATTAAAAGTAGTCAAAGTAAAAGCAAGTATTGTTTTTAAAAATACATGTACCTATTTTTTTTCTATGGTTTCTCACATGGTAACATTTTCCTTTCTTTTTTTAAAAAAAGAAAAGGTGGATTTTTTGTTGATCTCTTTGTAAGAGTATCTAACCAGGTTGCAGTCAACATGTACAAGCAGCTGGGCTACAGTGTATACAGGACGGTCATAGAGTACTATTCAGCCAGCAACGGGGAGCCCGACGAGGATGCTTATGGTAAGCTGTCTTTGGCAAAATCCCAAAGAGGAAGCTGAACATTTACATTCATTCTACAGACTGAAATATCTAATTATTTTAATAAACTTAAAAGAATCATATTTGTTGGACTTAATATTTTAAATTCAATATATAATATTCAAATTTCCTTCAACCTGCCTTTAGGAACCTACCACTAATTAGCTTATATTAACTGACCAATGACTAGTTACTATGTTATTGTCTTACTACATTACTTTACTAAGATTCTGTCAAAAGAACATTTGTATGAAGAGCTGAATCCCAGTTGGGCTTTGGTTATTACCCTCTGGTTACTGGTGATTGAGTCTCACTTGTATAAAGACATTTCCCTTAGATCAGTGGTTCTCAACCTTCCTAATGCCGTGACCCTTTAATACAGTTCCTCATGTTGTGATGACCCCCAATTTCATTGTTACAAATTGAACATAATTAAAGCATAGTGATTAATCACAAAAACAATATGTAACTACATATGTGTTTTCCGATGGTCTTAGGCAACCCCTGTGAAAGGGTCGTTCAATCCCCAAAGGGGCCGCAACCCACAGGTTGAGAACCGATGCCTTAGATTATGGTGAACGGGGAGATAAGGGGCAAAACCTCTTATGGGAACTTTTCCTGTACACTTTAAATTTAATATAAAATTATTGAAATTTGGGTACTTTAATTAAATTTTGCTTCCTAACAGATATGAGGAAAGCACTTTCCAGGGACACTGAGAAGAAATCCATCATACCATTACCTCATCCTGTGAGACCTGAAGACATTGAATAACCATGGGCAGTGGTTCTTAGGTTGATGCTCCAGATATTTTTGTTTTGTTTTGGTTTTTTTGTTTGTTTTCGGAGAACAAACAGATAATCCCATTATCCTGATATTCTCTGAGTGAAGAAAATCACTTTCAATTTACGATTGACCTGAAATCCTAGTGCCAGGCCTGCAGGCAGGAGGAGGAACGGTCATCAAGTCCAGATATTTTATGGACAATATTATTTTTATTGGATGGCATTAGAGTTCTGTTAGAGAAAAGTGCTTATTTAGATCTTAAAGACTAAAAGAAAATGTTTTAAATTTTACTGTTTCCAGGTAGCAACATCATACCTACTGAAGCGGTCCACTGTAATAAAATTCCATCAGAAAGGCAGCTAAGTCAGATGGAAACATTCTATCAGAGTTCATAATATTCACTATATGCTGGGGGAAAAAAGCTCCAATCTCCTCATAAATTCTATGCCTGAGAACCACTGCTGCATATATATATATATATTTTTTATTTTGTATTGAACTATTGATTGAAGCTTTAAAACCATATATGAAATGTTAAATCTAAGATGTATAATAAAGTGCACTGTTGACTCTATAAATGTTTTTTGGAAGTTTGTAAAACTAAATTAAGATTGAGAAAGCATCATTTAGGATATGCTTATTTATTTATATATAGAACATTTTTAAAATGCATACTTGAAATAGTTTCTGACCAGCATACTTAAGCTTCCTTATTTCAAAATAAATTCTTCCCAGTTATTGTTTTCATACTGTTAGTTCTAGATCCTTTCCGTATCTCATATATATTTTACTTAAATCATGCCTTTTAAATTATAAAAAGATGTTGCGGTTTATTCAAAGGGGAAAAAGAACCTAAATCCTAAAGGTCATGTAACTAGATAATAGACCAACAACATACTTTCATGTGTAGTTTTCATCACCTGTAATATATGAAAACATGGAGTAAAAGAAGTAAAGAAAATCCCACAGAAATGATTACTAAAAAGCTGTTACTTTTGAAAGGACTTACTTTGGTAGGGTTGAAAGAGTGAACAAGAAATGAATCCTTTATGTTCTACCGTTAGAGAATAACTTTTTCCTTCATGCATTACACTCTGGTACTTCCCAGGAAGTGTTGACTTTGCATTGATCCGATTTTTTTTTCTTATGCATACATGCAACATAAACATAATTTTAGCAAGACTCTATGATCAGTCACTTTTATTAGCATTTTAGCCTGTTTTCATCTCACCCTTTGACACTGCGCACTTTGCCAAAGGATATTAAAATCACAAATACTCCTCACTGACTAGGCAGACCTCACTACTCAATAGTCAGAACCTGATACCCAACAGCTGATACTGGTCCAGTGAACCAGTGAGACTGAAAACAGTTGCCTTTTATCCTAACAGTCCTATTTTATTCTGCCCTTAAAAAATCACAAACTATCTTATTTTCAAGATACAATTTAGTAACATTAACTAGCTTTTATTCCTGTGGGTAACATATTTGCAAACTTAATAATAAATTTGCTAATTCTCCTTATAAGTGAAAAACAGTCTTAGAGATAAATAGTTCTATAACTTGGGCAGTCAACAGAGCAAAAAAAGATAGGCTTAAGAAATATATGCCAAGTTAAAGGAAACAATTTCAGATCAGTTAATTAAGGCAATTATTTTTTGCTTGAGAATATGAGCAATGTATTATCCAAATGCTATTATTATTCTCCTTGTGCTATTAAGATTCATTGAGCTGAGTAGAACACTGAGAGATACTTACTGGTACTCTAGGTAGCAATGACTCCCTCGTCCAGCGAGTTTGGGGAACATGCCAGCATTGTTGCTGTTAATTCATATATATATGGTAGCATATCAAAGGCTCTGAGCAGCCTATAAAGAGATTTAGTTAATAAGGCTTAACCCTTAATCTAGGGTTTCCCAAACTTGAGTATGGGATATTGTTTTTCATGGCACACCTATTACTGTTTTTTAAACAAGCCATTACAGAGTTCAACCAGTCCGGGAAATTTATTAGGGCATAACTGGAACTTGACTAATATGTTCTTGATAAAAAAGATCGTTTAGAAATATAGTCACTGTAAATTATTTTCCAATTAATGTTTTGAAAAGTACTTAGCATAAATGGCCATGAAAGTAAGGATTTTAGAAGTTAACTTAATCCAAGCACATTCAATTCTATACGGAATGAACATATTTAAGCAAGTGGCCAGGAATGAACATTTTATTGAGCCCTTACTATGCCTTAGGTATGGCCCGTATTTAATCTTCAAAATGAGTTGGCAAGTATTAGCCCATCTTACGAGTGAAGAAATGAAGATAAAGGCTGTTACATATCACTAAGTGGCACAGCCGGCAACAGAATTGAGTTAGTGTGACGGAAGACATGAGAAAGTTAACGATTTCAGATGAACGCATAAACTATCTTTATGAAAAACTACACCTTAAAAGTTACTATAGAATGTAACTTGAAAACTTCTAGAAAAAGATTCCTTCAAAAGCCTGCATTTCATCTAAAATCAATGCTAAATGTTACCTCAGTTAGATTTCCTAATGCATTATGTGCATAAAAATGTTTGGATTCCAGCAAAGAAATCCAGCAGTTACTCACAACCCCCACCCACCTAACGAGCCAAGAGCATTTTTAAAAGAACTAAAAAAATAGCTGCCAAAGATTTCAATCACTTCATTACTGGTGAAATATATAAAAACTTACAGGAGCCACAGAGTTCCAAACTTAATTTATAAAAATAATAAAACATCAGTATGAACAAGATCAGGATTCACTCTCATCAATGTCCTTATCTGGGTCTTGCTCGGCAGCCTCCTTTTCCTGTTGCTGTTTCTTCCAAAGTTTGGCCATGGCCAGGAGCTTGAGATTCGGTTGGTTGGCAGCATCTTCCGGAAAGATGTAATCATAGTATTCTTCCCAGCCTGCATCAGACTGCAGGAAAAAGGCAAACAATTAAAGGATAAGCAAACGTGGCTGAAATACATTTATTTCAGTTACTTTAAAGTGGAAAATATTAACTGGAAAAACCAGAATTCAAAATCAACTTATCTTCATTTTATACAACATCATCAAAGTCTGATACAGAAAGAACAAGGGCCAGGCCTTGAATACTGGGAGCAGATGAGTAGCTGTTGGATTGGTGGTGTTGCAAGTGAAGCTCAGTGAGAGCTAAAAACCTGGTGGAAAATATTCTACAAATCTAAGCGCAGCTCCTCTATAATCAACCAAGGAGACAGTATCTCTAACTACATCTTGTAGTCTAAGATTTTAAAAATGTAAAGATTTACCTAGTATTTACCCAGTAGTGAAAGCCCTCTATCTGCATAATTATTCCGAATCCCTGCCCTAACATCCCCACCTCCAGTGGGTCCACTGATTTCACTTCCTAAAGATCACTCCAGTTCCAGCTTCCACCTCCACTTGCCTTGCTTACCACAGCCTCCCGATAGGGGCTCTTGCAATCTAAGCCCCGTGGGTCTCCTGCAGAAGGTGCCAACGACTGGGTCATGCCATGTTGTGCAGAAGAGCCTTCCTATAGCCTTCCCTGGATTAGGTCCTACCTAAAAGTTGATTAGCCCGACTGCAATTGTCACCTACTGAGGCCTGCTCCCATTCTCAGATGTACATATGCCGCATAAAAGCAGATTTCTAAGTCAGAATGCATTTCTGCTCATTTAACAAGTTCTTACCCCATCATCAGCCTGGACCTTTCTTCTCTTTTTGACTTTCTCTGGCATGAGTTTGTCTACTCTTTCCTTATCTGACGTAGTTCCAAATTCATCTTCAAAGCTTCTCCAAGATTCCAGCAACATAAGTCTCTCTTCTTTTTCCTCACAGTTTCGCATGGTTTTGTTAGCCTCTTCATAAATCTGTCTGCATTTAGGCAAACTTCCTTCTTTCCCTGAAGACAACTCAAACTGTGCAAAACTGATCCATACCTTAAAAACAATTATTATAGAACCAAATTAACCATGTCACCTAGAATACAATAATGCAAAACCAGATAACCTATAAAGCACAGAATACCTTGACATGTTGTGTCCGTTGAAGCAATCGTCGGTAAAGATTGCGTGTTCTTTCAGTTTCTTCCTGCTCAATTTCAAAATCAATGTATGATTTCCAGAGCACCTGAGGGAGATAACTTAATAGGTCAGTCTTGACATTTAAAAGCAATATGCCCCTATCCAAAGCACAACTTAACTACCATTCCAACCCAGGACATCCAGAAACCTAGGACTTTTATGAACAATTAAAGAACAGAAGGCATATGGATAAATAAATAATACTAGCATTTACAAGCTGCCCAACTTGGCTAGAATTCTACATTATGAGAAAAAAAGGCTTGGATTATCTTAGAATTTTTCAAATGATGGACTTATCAAGAAGGGCTGAGAAGCTTGCCATATCTCCCAGGCAGTCATGATCGAGTCACATACAACTGAACTTGCAGGGAGAAACAGGCCTAGATTAGCCAGTGTATACCGTTTTACCTCCACTGTAAGTTCTTGAAATGTCCGAGTTCAACTCAACAAGCATGCAGTGAACAGCTGCCCATCTGCTAGTATGTATAGCCTGTCGAGAGCACAAGGCTAAACAAGGTGTGGCCTGGATTCCTGGGAGCTGGCAGTCTGTGCAGGAGCTGAGGCCAATAGATGGACCTAATACTACAAAAAGCCCTGCCCCAAGGCAGTGGTGGGGCCCAGTGAACTATTAAATGAAAGGTAATATTAGCACAAGATTAACAAAAAGGCTGAGTTCGGTGGCTCCTATTAGATTCAAATTCGTTCTAGCTGTGGTTTGGCGCCACCTTGTGGCTCTAGCTTAAATATTGAAGGGATGATTTCAGATCCTGCTCTAGGCAGGACTTCCAGTACAGTAGCAATAATTCCAGGAGTATCCTGGTTTACTTAGACCCTCTTCCGACAGCCCAATCCAGAGTAAACTGCTAGGAGAATCCAAAGGTGTGCAGTCTCAACTTCCATCTCCCTTGATCTCCAGGTGGGATTATCTGCTGCCTGTCTCCTTGACTTTCCCATCCCCTTTAGCTTCCTGCTTGAGAATGGGAGGAAGAGAGCCAGTCACCCACCCATTATATCCCAATTCAGTTGGGTGTCATAATGAGGCACTACTGTGCTCTGGTATCCACCTAGAGCAGCGGTTGCCAACCTTTCGGACCTTGCGGACCATCAGTTGGCGACCGCTCTCCTAGAGGGCTGCTCCTCTGGCCTTGCTATCTATCTCCAAAACAGAAAAGTCCTCATTTGAGTGGAAAAGACTGAAAATCAGATCTTCTTTATGCTCTAAAATGCACATTTAGATGGTCATCTAAAGTAATACTACAGAGCTGACTAAAGCAAATTTATATTCAACTTGGGATCCTCACCTCTGGCATGTCTAAACGTGGCTGGCTGATGGCTAACTCGTAGATTGCTCGGGCTCTCTCAATATCGCCAAGGATTGTTTCCAATTCTGCAAATTTAATCCAAGAGGTACAATTTTCAGGTCCAAATTCCAGGAACTTTTCATAAAGCTTCCGGCATCTGTCAAATTCTCGAAGCTGTAGCTCCAATTCTATGTAACCTTTAAATAACTTGTTCTTTGGACATTTGCCTATGGAAGTCCCCTAGAAAAGAAAATGACCAACTGCTGTAATACCCTGGTGGGTTTGACTTGTGCAGAGACATTGTCAAACAGAAAATGTTCTCTGCTGAGCAGGAACCATGAAGAGTCAACCTGGCAAGCCACCCTTTCCTTTTGTGATAGCACACTGATCATGATGGTTTTTGACAAAAGGCCAAAGTAACCCTAACCCTCTAATTCACTCAGCTGTCAAGAGAGCCTGTGTTCACTGGTGCCTGTTCAGCAGGAGAGTGTTCCAGAATTATATGGACACTATTTTGGCGCTTACTTAGTTCCTCAGGATTTCCTAGGAAATATGGATGTCAGATGTATAAAATCTCCCAGAAGTAAAAAGGTAGTCAAAGAATGAACTCTACTTTGCTGTCCACAGCCAGGGTGCAGAAATAGAGTATTTGATCCTATTAAGAAATTTCAGAGTAACTGTTAAGAGGAGGTACATTTGATACAACAAAAATTTTGCACAGGATCAGACTAAAGATCAGATCTAAGAGCAGATCTTTCCAGTGTGAGAAAAGATCTGGTAACTGTTAGCTATAACTTCCCAATGTTGAAATAAAATAATTTAAGCATTCTCACCCAATCTTCCTTCAAAGGCCATGTGTACTCTAACATGTCTCAGTGTTTAAAGGCATATTTCTATTTCTAATAGGAACTGTACAACTTATAAGCACTAAGACTTTAATTTCCTTCTCACAGAACTTGATGCGTCTTGATCCTTTCTTTACTTACCAAAGCTCTTCGGGCAAATGGTAAATTTTTCTGTCTTATTTCAAATTGTGCATATAGTAGCCACATTTTGGCAAATGTGAACTAGAAAACAAAAGCACAACATCTAACTTAAGAGACTCATTTAAATTAAATTGAATTAAGATTTCCCTAAAATTTCAGAGCTAGGACAGATGTATTTTCTTGTTTATAAGCAAAAACGACAATATTTTTTTCATGAGTTAAAAAACAACAAAAACATCCAGTAATCTAGATACTGTATAGTATCACATGGCCCTGCAGCACCTACTTAGAATCTGCTTTGTTTTGTGGGTATGCCACCACCTCTATTCCAGCAGGTAACTCGGTCAACATCTCTATTTGTTTCTTGTGCTGGGAAATATGGCAGAGATAACGTCTCACCCACTTCCAGAATACACTTGTGCTCACCCTTGCATGCATACATCCACTCAGTTACCTACAAACACCTGCTCCCTGTGTCCGGCACATGCTGTGTACTCCCTGGATGTGCATCTTCCCCCTTCCACTCAGTCTATTCCAATTAGTGGCCTGGTGCACAAAACTGGTGCATTGGGGGGGGGGGGGGGGGGAGGGCGGTCCCTCAGCCTGGCCTGCACCCTCGCAATCCGGCACCTCTCGGGATGTCTGACTGCCGGATGTCTGAACCGGCAGTCAGACATCCCTCTCACAATCCAGGACCACTGGCTCCTAACTGCTCCCTGCCTGCCTGCCTCATCGCCCTAACCACTCTGCTTGCCTGCCTCATCATCCCTAACCACTCTGCTTGCCTGCCTCATCACCCCTCACCACTCACCTGCCTGCCTGATTGCCCCTAACAACTCTGCCTGCCTGATCACCCCTAACTGCTCATCTGCCTGTCTGATTGCCCCTGCTTGCCTGCCTGCCTGATCGCCCCTAACCGCCTCTGCCTTGGCCCCAGCCGCAGCGGACTTCATCAGGAAGGATGTCCAGAAGGTCATTCGGCTGTCTAGTCTAATTAGCATATTACACTTTTATTATTACAGATTACCCATCCTCTGAATTTCTACTGTTATAGTCATTTGTCACAGGCTGTCCTCTCAACTAGATTATAAGCTATTTTCAGAGGCGAAGAGCACATTTCATTCTTATTTATGTTTTTCATGGTGCCTACACAGGAAAATAGTCAATCAATAAATATTTCACTGCACTATTTCACAAGTAACAGAAGCAGGGTTTTAACTTTTGAAACATAACACTAAGAGCAAATGTACCTTTTTATGAGGAATTAGTTCCAAAGAGGCTTGATATACCTGTCTTGTCCTTTCAGGATCCTATATTAGGATAAGAAATTTTCACAAAATATTACTAATTTTATTAATACTAGTAAAAAAATGGACACTCCCAACATGAAATATTTTTTCATAAGTTGCAATTTTCAAACCCTGATTATAATTTATGATTAAAAGTGTGAACTACCACCCAGCCGACATGACTCACTGGTTGAGTGTTTAACCAGGAGGTCAAGGTTCAATTCCCGGTCAGAGCACATGACTGGGTTGTGGGCTAGGTCCCCAGTACAGGGCGTGCAGGGGCAGCCAATCAGTGATTCTCTCTCATCATTGATGTTTCTATCTTTCTCTCACTTCCTCTCTGAAATCAATAAAAATATAATTTTTAAAAAGTGGCCATCAAACTTTGGTTTAAGAATCAAACAACATACCTGTCAAATTCTGAAAGCGTCTCTACAGAAAGGCTTTTCAGCCTGACAGCAGACGCAAAAATGCTTCACGGTTTCAGATCAACAGCATAAAATTTATCTTTGTCTCTTAACTTATACATGACCAACTTCTGAAAATCCCTCTTGGTCTTTATAAAAGGATGTGCAATCTAGCCATGATCCCTATTTATGAGAAAGCCCAGGAAACTATGTATAATTCAGCTAAGGTCTGGTTCATTGTTCCCATTCAACTTCCAAGTGATAATCACATTGTGCCTCAAGGTTTAAAAAACAAAACAAGAAACACACCTCACCTGTGCCCACAACATATAGAGAATTAAAAATGTTAGAGAGAGAATATATAATTATATGACTATTAGAATTATAAGGCCTATTAGAATCTAAAACTAAATTCCTCTGCTTCAACGATTGTAAATATCCGTTACTGCCCACAATAGCAAGCTTTAAGCACCGTGGTGAGGAAATCACTAGTATTTGACACATAATTTCACATTCTTACCTTTGCCTCCAGTTCTTCATAGAGTGCATAGTTGACCCAAAGATAGATGTAACGCTTCCAATGTCTCTTCTCCTGAATGGGTGGGACATTGGCAATAGCTCTTTCATAGACTTCTCGTACAGTTTCTGCTTCTGCATCACTTTCCACCAAGCGCAGGTAATCAAACCAGGCATCATAATTGTGTGGATTAGCCTAGAAAGACAGTGAATTTAATAAATAAAAACAAAACCAAAAGCCCTATTTGCTGGATTGTGTGAGCTAAAAGAGAGCACCAGACTGACTTTCTATATTTTAGCAACTTTTTCTCTAGATTTTACATGCTATGGCATTTAAAAACATATCATTACTGAGATTTTATAAATAGAAAAAAAATACAAAAATCAGTAGTCCCCCCTTATCTGTGGGGGTTATGTTCCAAGACCCCAGTGGATGCCCAAAAACCTAGATAGTACTGAACCATATAATATATACACACACACACACACACACACATATTATGTTTTTTTCCTATACATACATATCTATGATAAAAGGTAAACTACTCTTGTGCTTTTGGGCAATTATTCAGTAAAATAAGGGCTACTTGAACACAAGCACTGTGTTACTGTGATAGTTATCTGATAACCAAGACTGCTACTAACTGACTAACAGGTGGGTAGTGCACAGTGTGGAGACTCTGAACAAAAGGATCATTCACGTTCCAGGCAGAACGGAGCGGGATGGCTTGAGATATCATCACACTAGGCAGAATAAGGCACAATTTAAAACTTGTGAATTATTTATTTCTGGAATTTTCCACTTAATATTTTTGGACCATGGCTAACTGTGGGTAATTAAGACAGTGAAAAGCGAAACTTCAGAGGGGTGGGGGAAACTACCGTATAGAGGACAGATGATTGCCAGGTGTCCCACAGCAAGGCTCCTTGCATCACCATCGCCAAGACAATTATTCAGTAATTCGATGCCTATTTTTGCAAATGTATTTGTTTATATATGTGACTATATGTCCTTACATCTAGATTTAAAATTACAATAGAATTAAGCCATGCTCACAATTGTGAAACCTGATTTTTCAATTAATAGTAATTTATCTTTAACATATCTTGCTGACCTCATTTAACACTAGACTTACATCTTTGGTAGGCATCTTGAAATGCTACTGGTCTTTAAATTCAAATCAAAACAGTCCATTACAGGTAAAGAGATGATAAAAAAAAAACCCTATCTACAGTACATCTTACATTCAAACAGTTAATCTAAAAGGTAATGTATAAAAACTGGTGTTTTTGTGGTTGTTTTTTATCAGTCCCTGACTCTTCTACCTTCTTTCAAAAATAAGCTCAAATGCCTGGCCAGTGTGACTCTGTGGCTGAGTGGCAGCCTATGAAACAGGAGGTCATGGTTAATTTCCAGTCAGGGCTCATGCCCGGGTTGTGGGCTCGATCCCCAGTGGGGGAAGTGCAGGAGGCAGCTAATCAATGATCCTCTCTCATCACTGATGTTTTTCTCTCTCTCTCCTCCTTTCCTCTCTGAAATCAATAAAAATATGTGTATTTTTAAAAGCTCAAATGGATTCCAGATTTATCTTGCTCAATTTCTACAGCACACAATCAGCAATCAAAGTGACTTTCAACCTGTGAGTGGCAGAGCAAGTCCAGGTGTTGTTTGCTCGCCTTTTCATCAGCCTCAATTACCTGATCTGTCTGAAATAGCTGTCCATTTACTGCAGACACATCATCAAGAGGGTAACAACTGGTAGCCCTAACTCGCTTATTCATTTTATTGTAGCTAGTATTGACTGGCACACCTTACTTACTTGCAGAATTAAGCATATACACCAGCACTCACCTTCACTTCTTCTTCATATTGGAATCTCCGTTTGCTCACAATGATGTCTTCAATACCCCGCCTATCACCAAACTTCTTCTCAAAGATGGTATAATTTTTAAAGAGCTCTTGGGCCTCTTGTTTTGAAATTCTATCCAGGGCATACTTGTATATCACTCGTACCCTTTCAAACTGAAAGCAGACAAGATGATTTCATCTGTCCTTACATAACATTCTCATTCTAGTCATGATTAGGAAAGTAGTTATGACATAAAACATTACTTGTAAATTAGATTTTAAGGCCTCACAATGTCAAAAATGAGATTTTTCTTCTCCCTTTCAATGAGATCTTTCAGTCAGGAAGGACTGACGCTTTCCTTTGAGCTCCACATTTAAAGCTGGATGTCATCTGTGTATCTCAAACTAAAAGGTCTGAAACTGACCTCCTGTTTCTCCCCACCAAACCCGTCTTCCCAATCTTGATTAAGCAATACCTACTGCTACACAGTTGCTCAAGCTAAAATTCCCTGGAACCCTCCGTGAGTCCTCTCCTTTCTTTCCCCACATTCACTGTTTCAAGCCTCGCCGTTTTTACCTCTTCAACACAGCCCTTCACTTCTCCCCACCCCACTGCCAAACCATCTCCATTTCTTCCCTGGATCATTTCAAGTCTCCTCTACTTTTGCTACCCTCCCCCCAATACAATCTCTGTAAGTTAGCTAGAGGCACTCCTTGCAATATAAATTATATCCTACCATGGTTTTCTCCTACTAAAACCCTTCAATACTTCCGGCTGCCCTTAGAATAGAATCTGAATTCCCTAATATGACCTGTCTAAGTCCTTGCATTCAGGCAGGGGATGGGTAGGAGGAGTAAAGGGGGATGGGGGGGGGGGGGAACATCTGTAATACTGTCAACAATAAGTAAATAAATAAATGGGTTATTTTCCATACATACTCTGGAAGAACTGACTTGTGGGACAATCTGTTTTCATTAAAAATTATATTCTCTGTTCTGAGGGCTCTGGGTTTTTTGTTTCCCAGGTTTATGATTTGTAAAGTCTTCTAATCAGGATACCAAGTGACTCATTCTCAGTTTATAGTTAATATTCTCACTCCAGACTTAAAGGCTTATATGTCAAGCACAGACCAACAAAATTAAGATAGTTACGATACAATCTATAATCACTCAGCTCCCAATATGCAGCTTAGCCACAAATGTACATTTTGAAAACATTTTCTCCAGTAAGTGCATAAAAAAATGGAAATGAACTTGATGTGACAAGAAGTCATGTTTTCTAAGCTGTTTTGCAATGTAACTGAGTGAAGTTTACTTACTTCTTTCTGATTTTCTTCAAATTTGGCAAAGGCAACATAAAGGCGTTCATCCATATGTTCATCTCCAAAGAATTCCACAGCTCTCTCGTACACTTTTCGTGCATGGGCAAAATAACCATGTTTTTCCTCAAAGCGGGCATACTTGATCCAGTTCTTAACATCAGGGTGCACAAGTACAAGTGCAGAGGAATTAAAGAAATACCAGCAAGACAACGTGGCTTAAAGAACAAACAAAACCCAAATCCACAACAAAACACACTACGCCTACGGGGATGATAAAGCATGTGCAAAGGTGGAGAACCACTAGACTGTGACCTGTGTCTGCCTCCAGTGCTCAGTCAGTATTTTAGCACTGGGACACATTGTTGGTAGTGGTACAAACAGGAGTCTAGAGGCATCAAAGGTGAACCACAGTAATTAGCAATGTGACCTCAACAAGTCATTTAACGTATCTAAGCCTCAGTTTTATCATCTGTAAATACAGTATTAAAAACAATACTGACCGCACTGGATGACTGCTGTCTTTAAATGAGAGAATGTATGTAAACCTCTTAGCTGTTTCTGGCCAAAAGAGCACGCTTAATACAGGGCATCTATTATACTATATGCTCAATAGCATTAGTATTTGCATTAATGATGGAGAAAAAACAAGTCACAAAAAGAAAACGGCTAACTAGAGCTAAAAGAGAAAGTTTTAAATTACCATTTTATTTCTTAATAGGATCTATATACCTATTTTTAATCTATGAGAAAACCATTTGTTTCCATTAGTAACACTTCAAATAAGGCAATGATGTTAAGAGCATTGGCTCTGAATCTGCTACTGGGTTCAAGTCCTCCTACATCACTACCTGAGAGACCCTTGTCAAGCTACTTAATCTCTCATCCCTCAGTTTCCGTATCTGTAGAATGAAGCAGTTCCTGTATCACAGGGTTGTCATAAGGATTAAATAACAATATTTGTAAAGTGCTTAGAGAGCAATGCCTGACACAAAGGAAATGCTATTAAAAGCTTTTGTTAAACTAATAATATTAAAAACAGTAGAGGTAATTGAGAGCTTAAATTGCACAACAGTTGATTCTCATTATTTGTGTTAGTTATATCCTATGAAGTCACTGTAACTGCTTAATTAGTAAATACCAAATCATTGCTGCTAGGGGAAACATGTATGTATGTATTTATATACATATCTCATAAAGAGTATAATCTTAAATCCTAAAAATGACCAATCTGTAGATTCTAGTTTTGGTATTTCATAACAGAGAAAAAAAGGTTCAGAAGTATTAAGTGACTTGCCAGAAGCTGCCCATAAACCAGAGCCAGAAAAGGGATTCAAACATGTCCCACTGGCCTGAGAGCCAGAGCTTCTTACAATCCACTGCACTGCCTTATCCTGTCTCCAGTGTCCATCCTCTGATCAACTCTGTATCAGAGCAGAGACAAGAAGGCAGAATGTCGCCTAAGGTGGGGCCTATGCCTTGGGTGACTCAAATTTTTCATCACTCTATGCTTGCAAATGACTGAAAGGGCCACAAATATTGACAGTGGGGTTACAAATTTTAGCAAGAAGAAGTCATAAATATGGTAACAGTGCATAATGAGGATCAATTATTTCAGCTGCTATGAGTGCTTTCACGTTATCATTTAATCTTTACAACCAGCCCGTAGTACAAACCTTTATTCTCTTTTAAAGATGAGGACACCAAGTCTCAAATAAATTAACTGACTCATTGCAATCATATCATTAGTAATTGGTAATCCTTTGGATGGACTCCAATAATGGTGCTAATAACCTTAAACTTTAACCCTAGAAAAACAGGACTGGCTATAGCAGCCAGGGCCTTAGTGTGTCATTTTCCAAAAGGAACCATTGCATTGTTGTCAAAATACAAACAAATCCAAAATCTCAATGGAAAAAACTCAAACAATTACCCAGACCACAGACTTTTTTCTGACCAACCTATGTCCCTAGAAAATTGATATGTAGCTTATGAAGATGAAATTTGCATCCTTGACTTCTAGGCCAACATTAATGCTGTGTCCTGACCACGATGACATTTCCACAGGAGCAGGACCAAGACAATAATGGCATCATTCAGACCTCATCCAAAGGATATATCTCTCATAAATGGTGCGGGCTCGATCCACTTCTTTGTATCGCAGCTCAAAGTTGATGTAGGAGTGCCAGGCTTGCTCCTCAGGCTGCCATTCCATCCAGCGCTCAAACACCTGCCGAGCACCAGCCACATTTCCCAGCATCTCCTCCATGTACGTGTATTTGTACCTTTAATAAAATCATCCGAAGTTATCTGTCATGGTCAAAATGACTTCGGTGGCTGAATGGATGAGAGAACAAGATCCATAGATATGCTGCTGTCTACAAGAGACTCACTTCAGATCGAAAGACACACATAGACTGAAAGTAGAGGGATGGAAAAAGATATTTCATAAAAATGGAAATGAAAAAAAGAAAAGTAGGGATAGCAATACTTATACCATACAAAATAGACTTTAAAACAAAGGCTGTAATAAGAGAGAAAGTAGGACCCAGCAATTCCACCTCTGGGTATTTATCTGAAGAAACCCAAAACACTAACTCAAAAAGACATGCATCTGTATGTTTCTTGCTACATTATTTATAGTATCCAAGATATGGAAGCAACCTAATTGTCTATCAACAGATGAATGTATAAAGAAGTGGTACATCTATACAATGTAATATAACTAACAGCCATAAAAAAAGAATGAAATCCTGTCGTTTGTGAACTCAACATGGATAAACCTAGAGGGGATGGTGCTGAGTGAAATAAGTCAAACAAAGATAAATACTACATGATTTCACTTAAATGCAGAATATAAAGAACAAAATAAATGAACAAGCAAAACAGACTCATAGATACAGAGAACATTTTGACAGTTGCCAGAAGAAAGAGAATTTGGGGGGCTGGATGAAAAGGGGAAGGGATTAAGAAGTACAAATTGGCAGTTACAGAAATAGTCATGGGGATGTAAAGTACAACATAGGGAATAGACAATAATATTCTAATAACTAGGTTGTGGTACTAAATGGGGATTTATATTGCAGGATTTATTGAAATGATCATATATTAAGTTATATAATGTCTCTTCACTGGAATGTATAACTGAAACTAATATAATATTTTATGTCAACTGTAATTAAAAAATAGAAAATATTTTAAATAACTTAGGGAAAAAAATGTTCTTTGGCAATTTCTAGTTTTAACTTTGTTAAATGTGAAGAAGATTTAAGACCTTACCTTCCCTAAAGGTTAAATTAAACATGTTTTCTTATTAAAATATAAGTCTGGCCCAGCCGGCATCGCTCAGTGGTTGAGTGTCGACCTATGAAGCAGGAGGTCACGGTTCGATTCTTGGTCAGGGCACATGCCTGGGTTGCAGGCTTGATCCCCAGTGTGTGGAGTGCAGGAGGCAGCCAATCAATGATTCTCTCTCATCACTGATGTACCTCTCTCTCTCTCCTTCCCTCTCTTTGAAATCAATAAAAATATGCTTATAAATATATATATATGTAAGTCTGGAAAGAATGAACCATTAGAAATATATTTTTCTTAAAAATTGCTTAGTTCAACAAGAATTTTCTTATACATAAAAGACTGCAATCAAAATTTTAGTTTTGATTACGCACCTATTATACATTATTATAATAGACAGAAGTCCGGTGCATGGATTCGTGCACCGGTGGGGTCCCTCGGCCTGGCCTGTGGGGATTGGGCTGAAACCAGCAGTCTGACATCCCCTGAGGGGTCCCGCAGTGCGAGAGGGCACTCTGCAAAGTTGCTGTCGCTCAGCAGCTCCTACGATGAGCATCTGACCCCTGGTGGTCAGTGCATGTCATACCTACCGGCCAGTAGACCAGTCACTTAGCCTTTTATATAACAGACTAGAGGCCTGTTGCACAAGGAGATTCATGCAATAGGCCTTCCTTTCCCCTGGCTGCTGGCACCAGTTTTCCTCTGGCAAATGGCAACCAGTCCTTCGCTCTGGCCGGGCTCTAGCCGGAGCCGGCCCCAGAGCCATGAGGCTTCGCTGCTCCACTGGCCCCACGGCCGTGAGGCTTTCCCTACTCCACAGGCCCCGCAGCCATGAGGCTTTTGCTGCTCTGCGGGCCCCGCGGCCATGAGGCTTTCCCTGCTCCACGGGCCCCGCGGCCGTGAGGCTTTCCCTGCTCTGTGGGCCCCGCGGCCGTGAGGCTTTCCCTGCTCCGCGGACCCGCAGCCTTGAGGCTTTTGCTGCTCCGCTGACCCCGGGGTCGTCAGGCTTCACTCCACCGCTTGGAGCCTATGTATGCAAATTAACTGCCATCTTTGTTAGGTTAATTTGCATATTCTCCTGATTGGCTGGGTAGCATAGCAAAGGTACGGTCAATTTACATGTTTGCCTATTCTTAGGTAAGATAGATTATAAGACATTCAAAAACACTTATACATATTTAACATGTGTAAAATTAAATACACCTATATGATTCCAACTATGTAAATGAAATAAGTATGCAAATGTAGAACTTTTCTAGTCTACAAAAAGCCATTTCATTAGATAAGAAACTTACCAGAATTGGTTGACTCGGGGCAGAGTTGTTATGGCCCGGTCCCAGATATTTCGGGCATGGTTGACCTGGCGATTCTTCATTTCCATTTCCGCATATTTCAGCCAGAGTGTAATATTTCGATAGTCCACATCTAAAGCACGTTCGTATATGGATCGAGCCCTTAAGAAGCAAGAATTGGGGGGCATTAAAAGCAGTACAGACATCACACATAGCAACTATTTCAAACCATTTGCAGTGCCCTGCCATTTTATCAGGTGTCCATCATGAGTCATTGTCTAGGCATAAAAAGGTGAAAAGATATGATGTTATTCTCAGAAACCTTACAAAGACTTAAAGTCTTTGCATGTAATTACAATGCAATGCGATAAACATCATAGCCAAGATCTGTACAAAGAAGCAAAGGAAAAGAAAGAAAAATGTCTGGTGTTAAAGGCTAAGCATATTACTCCAGAACTGAAAACTAATTTGGAACTTGAGGAAAGTGGGTGGGGAGGGGTACTCATTCTAGGCAGAGAGAACAGTCAGGAGACATGAGCCCCAGCTCATGCTGGTTTGGTTCAGTGGATAGAGCGTTGGCCAGTGGATTGAAGGGTCCTGGGTTTGATTCTGGTCAAGGGTGTGTACCTCAGTTGCAGGATCAATCCCAGACTTTGGGCAGGGCTTGTGTGGGAAGCAACCAATTGACGTGTTTCTCTCACATCGATGTTTCTCTCTCTCTGTCTCTCCCCCTCCCTTCCACTCTCTCTAAAAAAGACAAACAGTGGAAAAATATCCTTGGGTGAGGATTTAAAAAAAAACACATCATATATTCAGGTAATGGCAACTATGCAGGCACGATGGGGCAGGAGGTATGCTGGGAGAGTGCAGAAAGACTGAACAACAGGTCATGATTTTAATCTTATTGGCCACTGGTTTTCAGTGAAACAATTTTTATTTTAATAAAATCCCACTATATATTTGAAGAAATAATGACAGAAAACTTCCCCTACCTGGTGAAAGAAACAGACTTACAAGTACAAGAAGCACAAAGAGTCCCAAACAAGAGGAACACAAAGAGGACCACACCAAGACACATCATAATTAAAATGCCAAGGGCTAAAGACCAAGAGAGAATCTTAAAAGCAGCAAGAAAAAAACAGTTAGTTACTTACAAGGGAATGCCCATACAACTGTCAGCTGATTTCTCAACAGAAACTATGCAGGCCAGAAGGGAGTGGCAACAAATATTCAAAGTGATGAATAGCAAGGACCTACAACCAAGATTACTCTACCCACCAAAGCTATCATTTAGAATGGAAGGTCAGATAAAGAACTTCACAGACAAGAAGCAGCTAAAGGAGTTCATCACCACCAAACTACTATTATATGAAATGTTGAAGGGTATTCTTTAAGAAGAGGAAGAAGAAAAAAAAAGATCAAAAATATGAACAAAATGGCAACAAATACAAACCTACCAACAATTGAATCTAAAAATCAAAATAAATGAATAAGAAATCTAAAAAAACAGAATAAACTGGTGAATAAAATAGAATCAGAGGCATGGAAATGGAACATGATGATTCTCAGAGGAAAGGGGGGTGGGAAGAGATTAAACAAAGATCTTATATGCATATATGCTTTACCTAAGGATACAGGTAATAGGGTGTCTAAGGCCTAGAGTGGGGCAGGAACTGGGTAGAGAGGGGTGATGGGGGGGGGGGGGAGAGGCACATCTGTAATAATCTCAACAATAAAGATTAAAAAAAAATCCCAATATAGAGAAAGCAGATGAAACTGCACTTCTCTGGCTACAGGGTGTGTGCTGGTGGAGAGACCCACCTGTACAGCCTCCTGCTTTTCTCCCCCCAGCACTAGCCTACCACAGGGCCGCTGAAGCCCTCAAAGGAATCCCAGAGTTCTATGAAAGAAACTGAAAATTACTAACAAAGACACAATCTTCTACTTGTACTTTAACTTCTTCTATTTTTTTTTTTTGTATCTGTTAACTTATAACATCTTTATGTATAAAATTACAGCACTGGTCAGACCATCAAATCTCAGAGGGAAGGTAGGGGAGGGTGGGGGTGAAGGGGAGAGATCAACCAAAGGACTTGTATGTATGCATATAAGCATAACCAATGGACACAGACACTACGGGGGTGAGGGCATGAGCAAGGGGGGAATAAGGACACATATGTAATACCTTAATTAATAAAGAAAATAAAAGAAAAAATAAATAAAACTGAAAAAAAATTACATGCTCAACAATTTTACCTTTGAATCTCCTTTAGACTCTCTTCCCATTGTGCGTATTTTATCCAGTTACTAATCACAGTCCTGTTTTTTCTTATGTTATCTTCAAAAGTCTAGGAAGATAAAATGGATCAAATTAAAGAGAAAATAACTAAAAATAACATTATCTTTTTTCTATTAATCCTATACTAAAAAGGATACTTACTCATTTTATTCTTATGTAAGAGAAACTGCATCCTGGAAACTCTGAGAAATAAGAAACCCACTACAGAAGGTTACAATCACAGGTGTCTTACATGCAAGCAAAAGGAAAACTTTAGATATAAAGAATTATTGCACAATTGCTGATATTTTCTTTTATTGCCCATAACAACTGATACTGTAATATACTTGTTTCTAACAAAAATGTGTTTTGACTAGGTCGTTTTGGTAATGTCACAGAATTTCATACATAACTCAATGAGGATAACTAATAAGTAGGAACAACAAAATTAGTGGTTTAAAATAATCCCACACTCTCGAGTAAGAAGGTCAGACCAGATCTCTAGTCTTCTTATGGCTCTTTCCCACATCTTAACTCAGCACAGGGGGTGATACGGCCAGAAGAAGCACATAACACAGCCTTGCTAAGTCCACCTCTCTTCTGTCAGTTGTTCCACTTGTTAAACTTCTACCAATCTTCAGTTGAGCACCAAAAATTATGTCTCTTGTGGACTTAATTTCTTTATACTCTAAAACAGATAATTCATGGCATACTTCATAAAGTTCAATAAATGCAGTTATCTGGTAACCGAAAGTTGTATTATTTATGTGGCTAGAAACACTAACGTCTTCTCATTTTATAGTCTTACTAGAAGCCTGGTGCACAGATTCATGCACACTGAAAGGAAATTAATTAGAAGGTGGCCGGTGGGGCAGGACTGGGTAAGACAGGCCAGACACGGCCCGGAGCCAACCTCCCGTGGTCCCTCCCCAGCTGGGTGCAACTGGGGCGGCACCGGGGCTCGAAGGGCATCTGCAGAGTGAGCAGGGTCCCTCCAGCAGGTGGGGTCCCTTAGCCTGGCCTGCAGGAATCGGGCCCAAACCAGCTCTCCGACATCTCCCGAGGGGTCCCGGAGTGCGAGAGGTCACTCTGCAAAGTTGCTGTCGCCTAGCGGCCCCTGTATTGAGCTTCTGCTCCTTGGTGGTCAGTGCGCATCATACCTACCAGCCCGGTCAGTCACTTAGCCTTTTATATCTACCTACATAAAAGGCTAATATGCTCCTCGGGAGTTCAACTGGAGACTGGGAGTTCTATTTCTCGCTATGACATGCGAGACCACCAGGGGTGGTGCAGAATGAAGGCGCCAGCCGGCAGCCGGCAGCCAGGGAAGGAAGGCCCCAGCTGGCAGCTGGAAGATCCTGATTGGCCTTGATCGCTGGCCAGGCCTAGGGACCCTACCCGTGCACAAATTTTGTGCACCAGGCCTCTAGAATATAAATAATGAGAAATGTTTCAAACTCTGACCTATAAATCCTTAACAATACTGACATACTGAAAGATATCGCATTGACTGACCTTCCTTTTCCTTAGTTTGTAATCATTTAACTCTTCTTCATCTGTGATCTTCTGTTGAGGTGGAGGTGGAAGAAGCTCAAGTTCTCTTTCTTTAGCTTCTCTTAAAAGCTGTTCCGCAGTGATCTGTACCTCAGCTGGGGCTTTGTTTTTCACCTTTTAAGACAAGACATTTCTATTTTTAGTAGATGCTCTGCACACAAGGTTTAATAAACAAACATTTTTTAGGATGTGAACTTTACATATCACAAGATGCCCCCTTTGAATGACATCTTCCCATTTCTCTGGGCAACTAAACAGCAAAAAAAAATATGTATTCTAGCTTATGTATAATAGCTATTAACTAGCCATAGATAAAGGTCTCAAGAGAAAAAGGTAGCAAAAGTAGCAAATTTTCCTTTTAGATTAGTAAAATAAAAAACTCTGAGGATGCCCAGGTAAAACTCTCACCAGAGGTTTCGTTTATCAAGGTGCAGACCATAGCTATCTAGCATTACAATCTCTATTTGGGTGATTCTTCCATGTAGGCCCCAGGTGGGTGATAACGCCCCAGGTGGGAAACTGTGTTTGATTTCTGATGGCATTTCAAGTCCAAGACAATATTCGGTGAGTTGCCATCATTAGAATATAAGCTTCTTCAGGTCTTAGAGCTGTGCAGTCCAACACGATAGCCATGAGCCACATGAGGCAAGTCCCAACAGAGATGGGCTCTAAGTGTAAAATACACAGTGGATTTTGAAGACTTGGCATGAATAAAGAACAAGCTACCTAATTAAGTTTTTATACTGGCTACATGTTGACATGACAGTATCACGGACACACTAAGTTGTTAAATAAAATATATAATTAAAATTAATGTCACCTGCTTTGGCTGTTTAAGGTCACTATGAGAAAACTTAAGTTACATATGGGGCTCCTGTTACTTCTACTGGCCCAGTAAAAGTTCACGGAATGGGATGATAAGAAACCCTCATTATTTAGTGCTGTACAATGATGATGCTGATGATAGCTCATACCTAATGCGCATTAAGTACTAGGTACTGTGCTGTATGCTTTACATACGTTATCTCTGGAAGTCACCCACGTGGGCATGTAAAGGAAGGCTCAAGAGAGTCATCTGGGCAGAAGCACAGACGGGAGGGAGAGTATCCGTAAAGGCTTAGAACAAAGCCTGTTACATCATAAGTCACTGGCGAGTCTCAGCCACCGAAGGAAATATTAGATATCAAATTTGTTAACTTAAATTACACCACTACACAACTGTTGTCACCTCCTCTCATTCTGTCCACTCTCAGCGGGGCTAACTCCTTTCCAGCCTTCAAGTCTCGGCTTGCCCGTCACCTCTCAGCACCGCTGACTCTGGAGACCTCCTCCTACAACCCCCGTTATTCCTTGGCACATTCTGCTTTGCCTCCATAGCATCTGGCACGGCGGCTGCTTCACACGTGTCTCACCTGAGTACGGCTCCTCGCCAGCATTAGTGCAGCTCCGCAGTGCCTAGCGCCCTGCCCGGCTGTTCCCTCTGCTGAACGAACCTTCTCCGCTCCTCCACCCGACGTGCGGGCTGTGCTTCGGGGGACAAGAGCTTGCACCCCACTACCGCCCATCTCTTTCCCTCTTTATCACCCGAGGCCCCGCACGGGGTGGGCCTGCAAACTCGGACAACACTCTCTCGCCGCAGGTACCACGGAGCCCATGGCGAGCCCCTCTCCCCGGGCCCTCCCCACAAAGCGCCCCCGCTATCGCCTACCTTGGCCACTTTGGGAATTCTCTGCTTCCCGGCCGCGGTGGAGGCCGCCATGGCTGCAGCAGAATTTGTTCGGTGAACCCTGAGTCCCAAATATCGGCCCGAAGGCTCGGAGACGCCGCAAACTTTCTAATAACAAGCGGAATCCCGGAACCGGAAGCGGAACTGCGCTTGACCTTTAACCTCCAGCACGCGCCGTGACCCAGGGAGCGCCGTTTCTGTGGTAACCTGGCTGCGCGTCCTCCTTAGAGCAGGGTGTGGAGCGCGGCGTCCAGGAGCTGCGGTTGAGGTGGATAGAGCTGGCCTTCCCAGCAGGGACGCGAGGACTGGGTCCAGGGCGTCAAGGACACATCCAGGTCAGTGTCCGGGACTGGGTGACAGCTCGAGAACCGCTGGACCTGTCTAGCTTTGACGCCCAGCAAGGGGAGTAGGAACCAACGCCAATCTGGATGCTCGAGGTTAGGGGAAGAGAGGCAGGCCGAAAAACTACTACTCCCAGCATGCCAAGGGGCGAGCCGCTGCGCTCCTGGGCAGCCCGGAGCTGCGTTGCATTCTAGATTTTGTAGTTTCTGAGACCCACTACTTTCGTTTCTGGACAGTAGTGCCCAAATAACTAACTCCAAGGTTATTAAAAGTTTATTAAAAATAACTGAAAGTATTTTAAAGCTAGATAATACAAAACAAAAATAAATGAGTAGACTAGCAAACCAGCCTGCCTTGTTCTCAGGTAGGCAGATGTTTAAATTCTCTTAGTCTGCCTTAAATACATGCATTATCTTGGCCTCCATGTCTTTATAAGACGAGGATAATATCTACTTCAGTAGGATTAAAGAGAAAAATCTATGTAGCGCTCAGTAAATGTTGGCTGGTATAATAATTCTTGACAGGCCTTTAAAAACAGAAAAAATTACTTATAAGCAAGCAAATGGTTAAGAGCATTTTTTAAAAGACTTTATTTCTTGGAGCAGTTTTAGGTTCACAGCAAATTTGAGAGAAAGATGCAGAGAATGCCTATTCCTCCACCCCTCCCCCAGCCTCCCCACTATCAACATCCCCCACCAAAGTGGTACATTAGTTACACTTGATAAACCTACATTGACATATTATCTCTCAAAGTCTATAGTCTACATTACGGTCACTCTTGGTGCTGTACGCTCTATTATATGTCTTTCTGAAACATTAGACTCTCCACTGTTGTCATTAGCGATTCTCCTCAGAAAGGCTTGGTTATACACACAAAGCAGGTACTTTCTCATGGAACTTCTCAGACTCTTTAATGAGCTTGATGGCCTGTCAGGAATGCTATCACAAGCAGCATTTCCTATACTTATTTGACCATGAGATGTTTTGTCTCAAAATCTCTCTCAGGATCGCTGCCCTTCAGGACTCCAGTTTGGGGAACTCATTTGGAACAAGGGCAGCAGCAGCTGTCCATACAGGGGTGTAACTCTTGGCCACCTGCAATGGTGACTAATTAAATATAAGAGGACCCTGAATCAGTAAATAATTCCTTTCACTGTTTTTCAAGCCTACTGTTAGGATCCTCTAAAGCAGCTTCAATGGAAACAAAGAACACGGTTGCAGAAATTTCTAGACAGGCCAATTCTCAGAAACATCATTGTCCTGGAGAGAAACATGTCAACTGGTATGTGGTGACGGTCAATCATTGCAGCCTGCCCCCAGGGGAAAATATGTCCCACCAGCACTCTAATACCATGTTCACTCTGACCATATGGAAATTGAATTAACGTCCAATTTTGTTAGTACTATAACTGGACTGGCTTGTCATCTCAGATTAACAGTGGGCTATTTTCTCTCTTTTGGGGACAGGATAAAAAATGTCAATACTCACTTCTCCAAGAGGAAAGGTAGAAGTCGTTCACTGCCGAAGAACAGAGTCCCAGGATATTTTTTGTATCAAAAACCTCATTAGAAAATTTACTCAGAATCTGTTTGGGAGGATTAATCTCATCTACCTTCTGTAAGTATGTAGCCAAGGAAGCTTAACTATGTTTATCAGTTTTATCACACAATAGGAGGGGACCCCAGACCCCACTCCTCTGTCTTTATGGGGCCTTTGGTGAGGAAGTGGGCAGCAAGAAAATCTACCCTACTGAGCAGGAGATCTTTGGGAACAGCCAGTCTCTAAGACCTGTAACAACATGCCGGTCAGAAGGATTTCTCATGGGTTTTGGATTCAGACAAACTTGGGTTCAAATCTCAACTGCCCCACCCACTGGTAGATTCACTTGGGGCAAGTTAGTAATATTAGCTAACAGTTGTGAGAATTTATTTTCTATCAGGCTCTGTGCTTTGCCAACATGATCCTGTTTAATACACTGACACCTCTCTGAGCTAGCCACTATCATGTCCATTTTAAAAATGAGAAAATGGAGGCCTGCCAAAGTCAACCAGTTAGAACTCGTAGGTGACAAAGCCTGGTTATGCTCTTATCCACTGCTGTGAAAATAGTCTTCTAAATTTTGAAATCTGTATAGATTTTTTTTTCTTAAAAGTTCTTTTTCCCCCTGTTTTGCTTTTTTGGATACCAGAATATAAATATCCTGTAATCTTTCTTCATAATTTTATTGAAAAAGATAAGAGATAGCTCAGTATTGTGGATTTCATAAAGCTTCATATTAAATACACTTGAAATGTTTAAACTAAGGCCAACCTAAGACATTAAAATTTGTAGTTTCTGATTAGCACACTGCTGAGTATAATGGAAACTGGTACAATTTTGTTAGAGAACAGTAGGGCAATATGTATAAAAGACTTTAAAATGTATGTACCAATGAAATTATTTCATTTTTTTGGTATTATTGTGGATTAAATACCTTAATGATGTCCTCTGGATGGAAAAAGTATGTTGATACACACATACACACACACACACACACACACACACACACACACACACACATGCACTCATGCACTAACATACACAAGAACTATGCAGAGAACATCATTAGAGTGAAATAAAAAACAGTATGTCTTTTAAAAAAATTATTATTATTGATTTCTGAGAGAAAGGGAGAAGGAGGGAGAGAGATAGAAATAATGATGAGAGAGAATCATTGATTGGCTTCCCCCTACACGTCCCCTACTGGGGATCGAGCCTGCAACCCAGGCATGTGCCCTTGACTGGAATTGGACCCAGGACCCTTCCATCTGCAGGCTGATGCTCTATCCACTGAGCCAAACTGGCTAGGGCAAGAACAGTAGGTCTTAATGCCACTTTCTCCTTGAGTATTTTATGCTATATTCTAGAAACCTCATGATTCTGTATTTGACAGCTTTGCAAAGAACAAAAAATGAATACTCCCTCCACCTAAGGACGGAAGTATTAGATTCTTTTGTATAAAACTGGCTTGTTCATTGCAAGGATGAATGAGATATAAGCCCACTAGATAAAAGTGGACAGTAAGCACACTAGCCTGTTTCAATCTCAGCCTCCCCCAAGGATTCATAAGCACATGTTGATTTGAGGTCCACATTGATTATATCTGTGGTCCCCAAAGGCTTCAGAAGATCCCAAATAATGACTGCATTTTCGGACACACAAAAGCTGAGTTAGTTTACCAATGTGTTTCCAGGAGACTGGTTGTAATAAACACAGGTCAGGTGTGAAGGGATGGAGCTTCAACTCAGACTAGAAATAATGAGCTCAAGGAACATGAGCTCACAGTAAAAAAATCACAATTATACAAGGAAACATGCACCATTTTTTGAGAACCAACAACAACAAAATATCCAGCAGAATCAGATTCTCAAAGGTTGATATATTGTCAGACAAAGAATATAAAATAACTATGCTTACTATGTCTAAACTGAATAGGTCTTAAAAGATCATATAAATGAATAATAAGATTTGAAAAAAAAGTCAAATAGACCATCTAGAAATGCAAACACAGAGGTGAACAAAAGCAGGTTTACAGTTGTGAGTATGCGAAACATAGAGTTTATTATTTTGTGTTCATAAAGCTATTATAGTAGTCATAACCTTCATGTCTTTTTCCACATGAGCAATTATAACTCTACTTTTGCCCACCCCTATATAGTCAAAATTAACGAGTAACTGCCACGATATTTTGAATTTAATTAAAAAAGGTCCGCCGCTTGCGTCTATAGACACTTACAGCATACAAATGGTGAAAGTTCAGTGGATGAGTCAAATATAATAGATACAGTTGAAGACAGAAGTAGTGAGGTGGAAGATTAATACCAAAAAATTATCCAGAATTCAGCAGAAAGAGATAAAAAATGTGAGTGGGCTATTTGACAAGACTAGTAAACTTCTAGATGGAGATAAAAGGTAGTGGAACAGTCCCTATTTGAAGAGATAATGACAGAACTTTCCAGAACTGTTGAAAGCATAAATTCTTCTATCCAGAAAACTCAGTGAATCCTAAACAAGATAAATACACAGAGAAATCTACAGCTAAGCAAATTATAATAAAACAGCAAAATGCCAATGCTAAAGAGATCTGAAAAATAATCAGACAAAAAAGAGACAAATTACCTGCAAAGAGCTGAAGATTAGACTAATAGATGATTTCTCACTAGCAACAATGGTAGCCAGAAGATAATGGGAAATAATATCAACCTAGAATGATATATGCCCAGTGAAACAATTTTTTAATACATAGGAGAAATGAATTCATTTTCAGACAAACACAAATGCCTCAAATATATTATAGGCAGGAGGAAGGATAGTTCAGCTGGAAAAGCCCAAGATACAAGAAGAAAAGTAAACAAAAATATGAGCAAATATGTGGGTTAATTTAACTTATATAAAGCAATAGCAATAAGAACCAACCTCATCTAGATACTCAATTTAAATATGTTATAAGATACAAATAACTGGACAATTGTATATAAACTGGAAGGTACATGTTTATAATGAAAGTACTCTTAAGGTATTATGCAGGGGGAGGGAGTGGTAGCTAGTACACAAAGGTGCCTTCCCTCTCTCCCGTGAACCATGTGTCCAGCGTTTATGCCCTTGTGTAGGCCCTTCTCACATTGAATCAGGGCCAGCCCTGTGTAACCAATAGAAACCTACAGAAGTGATTTCTCTGTAACTTCAAGTCTAGGTCATAAGAAGTCTTAACAGCTTCCAGTGGGCCACTGGGAATGCTCTTTCTCAGAACCCAAATG